ATAATCAGCAGCACAGATAAGTCACATAATCAGCAGCACAGATAAGTCACATAATCAGCAACACAGATAAGTCACATAATCAGCAGCACAGATAAGTCACATAATCAGCAGCACAGATGTCACATAATCAGCAGCACAGATAAGTCACATAATCAGCAACACAGATAAGTCACATAATCAGTAGCACAGATAAGTCACATAATCAGCAACACAGATAAGTCACATAATCAGCAGCACAGATAAGTCACATATCACCAATTGAAGTGTATTACAGTGATTTTTTTTCCCCCTTTTTTTTCTTACAGGGATTTTTTTTGTCTGGTTAGGGATTCATGAGTCGAGCAGATTCAGGGTAGAAACTGTTCCTCAGGTTCTACACTTAATGCTCCTTAACCTCCTTCCTGAGGGAAGCGGGGCAAAAAGTGTGTGTGCTGGGTGAGTGGGGTCCTTCATGATGCAGGTGGCCCTCTTCCTGCATCTGGAGGTGTCTGCAGCTATGTTTACATACGCAAAATTCTTGATTCTTGAAATGTTTTCAGATTAAATAATCTGAATGTATCGTTTACATGGGCACAATCTGTTCACGATGAGTGTTTACAGGCAGCGGGCTTTCATTCTGAATAGAAGTACTGACATGTGCAGAGTGGTAAACTCTCCTTTAAAAAAACACAGAAGAAGAAGTTCCATTTCCATTCCACTTCCGGGATGAACATAAACAAACCTGAGCGCCCAAAATGGACCCACGGCAGGTATTAATGACGGTGGAGACGTTACTGCACTCCCTGACTGAGCTACAGGTAATACAGATCATTTTGAGCTCTTTCAAAGTTTCTAGTGGAAATGTTGTTGCTCACCGACCAGTTTTGCTTCCCTGACATGCTAATATTATTAGCATCTAGCCAGGCGGAAATATGTGCTGTAGACATAGGTTGCACATGCGCAGTCAGGTCAGTTTTCCACAATCTGAAAAAAATGGACAAATTAAGTGTTTACACTGTTCGGATGATGAATCTGCATACACCACCCGTCTCATTCTGATCACAAATTATTTTGGATCGAGATGAATCAACAAAAAAGAATCCGAATGGGGCGTTTACATGACTCATTTTTATTCCGAATGGCCGTTTAATCCGATTACTTATGTCCATGTAAACATGGCTTGTGATGGTGGTGAGTCTGACTCCAACAGCTGGGGCTATAAGCTAAATTATACCCAATAACATGTTATCATCGTAATGTTTATATTTAGCCTAAAGCTAACGTATAAAAAAAATCAACTTGAATTTAAGATGAAAATGATGTTGAGCTCTAGATTGTGTTTTGTTAACATCAGGTGGAGTTTTCTGGGTTTCTGTTCTCCTGCACCCCACTGTTTCTCTTCCTTGTGTGCAGCTCCACACACCTGTCTCCACTTCCAATCACCCCAGGTGTTTGTCATCATGTGTCATCAGTGAGCATCTTTGTCTTTTCATTTGTCTGTGGATTGAACTGTGAAGGACTTCATGTTCTTTCTCCCTCCATGTTTCCTCATCTACTCCTTAAAAGTAAGTTTTGCTGCCCTGTCAGCTTTTGTTTAATTGTTGTAAATAAATTCAGGTCATTGCTTTCACCTTGGAGCTTCCTGTTGCCTTCCTGCACGTGGGTTCAACCAAAATACAGATCATGATAGGTTCAAGGGGGGGAAAAGTTTTTTTGTTTTCTCAAAGTGAGATTTGAAGCTTTGAGTTATACATTTTTAATTTTTTTATTTTGGAAGAGTCAGTCTATGATTGTTGAGGCTGGGATTATAATTTGCAGACCTTGAACCATGACTATCGCTGGTTGAGGGGATGTATAAGCACAGAAGCCTGCAGCATGACAAAACAGCCTCAACAAACTATTTTTAGTCATTTAGGATTGACTACTGTTTTTGTTGTACCAGTTAAGGGTTTTAAAAAAAGTTATATTAAATCATTTTTATGTTTTATTTGTAATCAAAAGTCTAAATTTCCAAAATTCAAGTTAACTGAAGAACTCTTCGCACAATTTGACTTGAAAAGTCCGAGATTCTTGACGGGCCCTGACCTCAAAATCTAATATGGCTGACTCACACATGAATAAACAGTAATAAATGTTTTATTTTCATTTTTGTCTATACGTATCTCAGTGAATCAGTAACTTGTTGCTACAGTGTTGGTCATTATTAACTTGAACTGCTGAGAGTGAGAGTATGTAGTTTTTCTGACATAACTAGACAATATTTCAGATGGGTTTTATGTCATTTCCAAATCCAACATTAGACTTCAACAGGTCATAGATCCTGCTGCTTTAAGCATTCGTTGGACTCCCAGAGGCTTAGATGAAATTTATTTGCGAGAAACCCGAGAACCCATGAGCATTCTGACTAAGCCTGCTTTCTGCCCGGTGAATTAAAGATATCCAGGTCAAAATTTTTGACTCAATGTGCCAGTCAGGTCTTGAACACAAAAACATTTCTTTAAAAAAAAAATAATAATAAATTGTACAAAATGGACAGTCGCTAATGCTTCAATGTTTCCAGTGTATATTTCTGTCAGTGTTCCTTTGAGCAACCATCGCCTACAACAGAACATTACAGTCTGATGTTAACTAACAAGTAGAAAATCATCCTGCCCAACACGTTCTGCATGCATACTGGTTCTTAGACATTTATTCTGTTTAGAGAGTCAGAAATGGACTTTTAAAATAAATTATTTAGAAAAAGGGCATTGCAATGATGTGATTTTAACAGCCATATTTGTATAATTGTTGAGTAAACACTTAAATTAATTCATTGAGCAGCTAACACAGTAAGTTAACCAAAGTGAAGAAAAAGTTAATTATATCCTTTAATATATATATATTTATTTAAAAAATAATAACAGTTTACATGAACTATACATGGCAGTACTTAAAAAAAATCAGTTTTCTTATTGGCTACACAAAATATACACACTTAAATCCTGTTAAAAAGGCAACATCTCCTGTCCGCCATGACAACACATCCACAGAGCATTCGGTTAATGCTTTTAACTCTTCATCTGATTTAAGGATGACATCATAATCACTCAACAGTCTGTGCATCAGTTTGATTGGTGAGACAGGAAAATAACTGTCCAGTGTTTGTGATGCTTAACGTACATGTATTTTCAGGTGTATTTGTGATGCTTGAACAAAAAGTTACAAATGCAAACAGAAAAAGAACGGAATAGAAACGCAGACGTGTGAGCGTTTTGCTCTAAATTATACAAAGTTCACTGCATAGATCTAAAATGATCATTTCACCATAGACGCTGGTGACCAGTGCTTCCAGCAACAGATTCAGTGCTTTTAGAAAGTATTCAAATGCTCTGAAATTTTCCATGTTTTGTCACGGAACGACCACAAAACTTAATTCATGTGATAGTTCAACACAAAATATCCTTAAAACAATTCAACTACCGTGTTTTTCCGTCATATAAGTCACAGTTTTTATGCATAGATTTGTCAGTCCTGCGACTTATGCACCAAAGCGACTTGCAGTAGTCCCTTGTTTATCACGGGGGATCTGTACCCTGAAGACCCGCGATAAGTGAAAAACCACAAAGTAGGAATAGTAGTACAACTAGTAAGTAGTAGTTTACTACTACATATATATATATGAAGGTGTTTTAAACCCATCCCACACTCTTACAATATTCTAAACAATATTTCTAAACTCTAAACGCTCTAAAAGAGCACAGAATGTCATGATTTCCCTCTCTGTGCCTCCGCTGCTTTCAGCCACCTGCAAGCGTTCTTGGCCACGCCCACTTTCCCGCTCTGCACTGTGAACAGCTGATCAGCTGATCAGCTGCAGGAGGAAGTTTATCCTGCAGTATGGGCTGCACAAAGGTGCAGGAGGTGCTAAATAATTTAAAATTTATTTTAAAGAAAAATCCCATGCTGATCAATCAGCCAATTGTGTGTCATGTACAATCTTATTTTGAAAAGCCGTGTTACAGCGAGTCCGCAATAAACAAACCGCGACGTAGCGAGGGACTACTGTGTATAAGTTTGTTGGGGGTTTTTTTGTTTGGCTGATGCGACTTATACGCTAGAAAATAATGTAATCGCCTTCAGAATCACCTGATTGGTAATTAGTAAATGAGTGTAACTTAATCTCAGTATGAGTACAGCGGTTCAGTGCAGACCTCAGTATTTGATGCAGAACATTAATGATCATCATGAAGAGCAAGGAACACACCTAACCCCACCAAAAAATTTAAAACAATGTGTAATTTTCCTTTGACTCAATAAATACTGAATTTTTGTGGTCATAATGTTATAAAATGTGTAAAGATTCAGAGGGTTTGAATATTCTTTTAAGATGCTGTAATTAATGTTTCATGTGGAATAAAGATTGCCGTACAGGTCGTACTCTCTGTACATCAGGTAGCTCATCAGCCTGGGAGGGAACGGAGCAGTAGCCATGGCCTCAGGGTCGTTCAGACTCCGGAGGCTCATCCGAGCCCTGATCTCCAGGCGACACAAGTGCTGCAGAGAGCGTGGCTCACCTGGGGACAAACAAACAGGAATACACTCAAGCTGGTAAGATTATTAAAAGTTAACTTGGCTGTTTGTTCGTTTTTAACCATATTTGGTATTTTACTCAGTATGGAAGAAATCTCTTTCCACTCCGGCGTCCTCTCCAGGATGCGTTTCAGGTCCGAACAGATGCCAACGTGGCTTACGTAGTCCAGAAGAATCCTCACCAGGCTGCCTGCCACATGAGCCAGCCACGACACAGACAGAAACTCGCAGAACTAAGCACAAAGATCAGGATGTGATTATTTCATTTGGTCTTTCGGCTCAAACCACTCAAATGGATCATTCAGATCGTTTGAAGCAGGAGTTTGTGGAAAAGCTGAGATTTCTTTAAGAGTTACCCACAACAGGTAAGATATTAACTGTTTATAAGCTTTTACTTTTACGAAATTAAAAGATTTCTTACCGAGATGATATTAGGTTGACAGTAAATCTGGTAGGCTTGATTGTGCAGGTCAGCCCACGGATCTATTTCTTTGCCGTCTCCATGGCAACACTGAAAGCATCTAACAGAGGAGAGATTTAAAATAAAAACGTTTAACTATTCGTTTCATATATGGATTCTATATATGACACGTTAGGCTGTTTAGCTCTTTGTCACGTGCTTGTGAGCTTGGTATCCGCTGTTGAGCAGCAGTCGCAGCATGACCTGGTCCCGGAGGCAGTACTGCAGCGCCGTGGGGAACGCCGTGTTGCTGATCACTCGGAAATAACAGTTGACCTCTGCTCCGTAGGACAGCAGCAGCTGCACCAGCGCATACCTGGACACAGACACAACTTCAGCCCAAAACCTGAATTATAAAACAGAAGCACGTGCAGGTGTCTCCTGCCGGACCTCTCTGCGCGCACAGCAACCAAGATGCATCGCAGAGGGTCCAGGTCCGTTCTGGCTCCGGCTGCCAGCAGCATCTCTGAGCAGCTCACGTCCCCGTTGGAAACGGCGAAGAACAGTGCAGTCTTCCTCATGTCATCGTAGTTCTCTGTCGGATTTCAAACCATCAGCTCATTTTCTGAGTCAGCATTTATGCAATATTCTTGAAATTTATAGTTTGTTGCAATAAATACTTTTACATATTTTATTATTTTAACCCATCATGTATTAAATTTTTGGCTCAGTCAAAATCACTGTGCAATGACTTCTGTTTGGTTTAGATTTTTTTTGTTTTTGTTTTTGTTGAGAATTTTTTATTTACAATAAAATTCCCTTTGCAATTCTTCTCATTTTAACTTTTAGTTACCGTTTTGCTATTTTTAGCTTTATCTACTGTTTTGCTTGTTTTAGCTATTAGCTACTGTTCTGCTCATATTAGCAACTAGAGATTGCATTTCATGCTCATTTTAGTATTGACTTTATAATTGTTTATTGTTGTCACTGTTGTCCATTGTTGTCATCATTCTTTGTTGAAATCAGGTCTCCCTTGTAAATGAGTCCTGGAGGCTCAATGGGATTTACCTGTCTAAATAAAGGTTGAATGAAAAAAAAATGCAGTGTGAATGCTTATTGCAGAAGAACTTGTTGAAAAACAGCTGAAACTAGCTAAAGAAAATGCTAAAATGTAGCTGAAATGGAAGAACAGGCCTAATAAAATTAGCATAAGAAAGCAGAAAAAACACATATTAGCTGAATTAGGTTTAGAGAAACAGAAATGAGCACAAAAATTTGGAAATTAGCTAAAAAATGCTGAAATTAGCAAAGCAAAATAGCTGAAAAGTAGCTAAAATGGCAAAGATGCTTAAACTACCAAAAGGAAGCGAAAAAAGCCTAAATTAGCTAAAAAATATATATATGCAATTAGCTGAAAAGGCTAATATTAGCCTCAAAAGGGCTAAATAGTAGTTGAAAGAGCAGAAAAAGCTGAAACTAGGGAAAAAAAGCTGAAAGAAGTGGATATTATCTGAAAGCTGAAATTAACAAAAACTGCTGAAAAGTAGCTAAAAATGCTGAAAGAAGCTGAAATTAGCAGAAGGAAGTGGAGAGAGCACATTTTTGCTGAATTAGGCTGAAAAAGTTTAAATGAGTGCAAAAAATATGGAATTAGTCGAAAAAGCTAAAATTAGCATAAAAACAGCTAAATAGTGGCTGAAATAGCAGAAAAAGCTTAAACTTGCAGAAATAATCTGAAAGGAGCATAAGAAGCTGAATTTAGCACATAGACATTAGAAGAAGCACAAAAATGCTGTAGTTAGAATCTAAAAGTATCACAAAACAGCTGAAAGTAGCTGAAAAAAGTTTAAATTTGCACAAGGAAGCTGAAAGAAGCTGAACCAGGAGCAGTAATAGGTTGTAAACAGATCTAAAGATTTGGAGGATGTAAAATGAGCTCAATTCATTTTCTATGAGGAAAACAAATGTGGCAGAAAGGGCTAAATATTTCAAAAAGCTAAAGTTGCACCAATACCAAAAGTCATAGCAGGATTGTCCTGAACGAGCTGAACGTTTAGATTTATGATTTGTTGAAATAGCACAAAAATTGTGGAACAAGAAAAATGCTGAAAAACATACATTAAAAAAATTGATCACAAGTGTGAATGCTTCATTCACACTATTAGCTTCTGTTATGCTCATTTTAGCTTTTAGCTACTGTTCTGTTTGTTTTATCTAATGGCTAATTTCGATTTTGTTCTGCTTTTTTAGCTTTAACGAATCAGTCATTTATCACTCCGTATGCACATTTTCACAAAAAATGCAAATATTTGTTCTAAATGTCTGCAGTCTGCAGTTCAGATTTGTTCCCTAACCTGAAAATTGGATTCATGATGATTTTTTTAAAAGTATAATTGCATTAGATTATTAAACAAGCACATGTGTTTTAGCTGTCTCCTACCAGAGATGTGTTTTTCTAGCAGGGCGTTGACATCATAACCTTTCTGGATAAGGAGTGAAAGACAGTCGGCCTGTCCCCCATCGGCTGCAGAGTGAACCGCGCTCTGGCCCGAGAGGCGGATTGCTCTCTTTGTGGTGATGGGGAGGAGAGTTCTCAGGATTCTGTGTGGAGATAAATAATGGAAGGGGCAAAAACAGCAGCCAAGACAGTGAAAAACACAAAACAGGACAAGGGAAAAGCTCATTATGGTTTGAGATTCAGTGTTTAGTGAGGAGCAGAGGTAAACAGAGGGCTCATTGTGCAGATTTCTGCAGACAACACCCTGCAGAGATGTGACACAGACATGTTTTTACTGTTGTTGGCCTCGTTGGGTGCAAAACATAGAAAATAAGTATATTTTAATTTGTTTAGAGCGTTTTGTCTGCCGGGAACTGGATGAATCCGTTCAAAATAAGACGAATAATGCCATGAAAAGGATGCTGTTTTTCCTCAGAATAAAACCAAACCGCTTCAGAAAACGAAGACGAGCTCACAGAATGTGGCCTTCATATGCGGCTCTGTGGATGGGCAGCTGGCAGGCGTAGCTGGCCACGTTTGGGTTGGCTCCGTGCTTCAAAAGCAGCTCGACACAGTCCAGGTTTCCAGACCCGGCTGCATCATAAAGGACCGTGTCTCCGTTGCTGGCCCGGGCGTTCACGTCACCACCTGGAGGAGGACAAAAACGAACTCAACACCGTCAAACGAGGGGAAAGATGATGCGGAATTGTTGGGTTTGAATGCTTTACCGTGCTGTATGAGTAAGTCTACTGCTTCAGTGTTGCCGTGCTCAGCTGCAGTCCCCAGAGGTGTGACACCATAGCCATTCCTGGTCGTCACTTTGGCTCCATGTTGAAGCAGCAGCATCAGAACAGCTGGACAACCCGCCTGATGTGAGACAGGAAGCAACTCACTTATGGGTAAACATTATTAAAATAAGCAAAAGTATTTGGCCCAGTTCTGACTAGGTGACTATTTACCTTTGCAGCTTCATGGGTGGCCGTCCATTTAGTGAGGCACACCTGCTCCACGAAGGCCCCGCCCACGATGAGGGATGAAACCATGTCGTAGGAGCTCTGTCTCACGGCTTCAAAATGCACAAACAAGATGGGGGTGTCGGCTTCACGGCTCATGTTGAATGAAAAACTGTAGCTTGTACAAAGTCAGCATTAATAAAAATCAAAACGTATACAAAGAGGACCACCAGAAACGACAAAATAAAACAAAATCCACTCCTAAAAAAAAAAAACAGATAAGTTTGTATACACCTCGTTGCAAACTAAGAAATCAAACTATAAAATGCAACATATAAAATGTTATCTTAAACAAAAGGTGCAGTTTGACAAAGTTTACTGCAGTAGTTTTACATATATTTGGGCGTTCTGCACTCGCTCTCGTGCAAGGCGGACGCATCCTCTCCCTCTCCTGTTCTCATGATTTTTTTCTGCTGTCTGTGTATCGGAGCTGCTGTTACACATCTTCCGAAACTAAAACTGCTGTCATGGATCTGGTCAGCTGGACTTTAAACGCAATCGACAAAATCTTTTCAACAAAGCGACATGGTCCTGGAAAGCCCTCATGCCCCGCTGAAACTCTCACAGCAAGATATATCATGGACCCGTGGGGAGTTTGGGAGCTGATGAGTCTTTCCGTTCTGTCTCAGGAGGGTGCTATATAATTGGATTTATGATGGCAGGGTTTCTGCTCTCTGGCATCAGTGGATTCCTATTGGCTATTAAGGAAGATGGCGGCAGCAGTTTCGGCCATGGCAAAACTGCAAAGTCTGTGTGAAGGTTTGGTTCGTGCTTCGAGTTCTCAAAATCAGCTGATTTACGAGATAAACTGTAAGATGGAAGCGATTTGTGAGAATTGCAGACCACCTGCGGCTTCTGGGACTCGCCAGCGTGTTGGAGATGACCTTGGAGGAGCCTCGTAGGCACGGACCAGTGGATTACCCACTAATCTGGTCATTTTGTATCTTGAAAGGATCAGCAGGACTCAAGGCTGACAAGAAGAAAAAAAAAGTTTGCCTGAAAAAATCAACACTTGTGGCTTATCTGAATCTGACTCCCCCGGTTGGCCTCAAAAACGAGCTGTCTTATCCAATTTCTCTTGGGATATGTGTAAACTAAGGAAAAGCTTTGTTCAACCTCCCACATCCTGAGAATTGCTGTGAACACTTATCAGAACTGTGCCAGCTCACCAACATCTCATCAGGACTATGGACTATCTGGAAGTGCTTCATGGACAAATCTCACCGCCTTGCCGTCAAATGCATATGTAACGTGTTTATAAATGTGCTGCTGGTAGAGTTTTCTGATGTCTTAAATCATGTTCTGTTAGGACAAGGTGTGAAGAGATCTTCTTTTGTAATGCCACTATCGTATCCTCATGGATTTTTCCCCTTTTCCATCTAAGAGTATTCTGAAAAGGGAAAAGGGGCCATGCTCCTGTAGCAGCGTGCACTCCGCCCATCTTTCAGACGACTGTACGAACATAATTTCACTGTATTTTGATACAATGATAATAAATCTTATTCTGATTCTGGTATATTCAAGCTTAATTCTGAAATGCAGGTATGCACTCAATGTAAACAAAGCACTTTACTCTGCATACTTGACTCAACAAATGTACCAAAAATCGTCAAACATCTTGATCTGAAACAGCTCTTCACTGTTGACCTATTTTAGTTATTTTGGCTGTTTTCATAGGTGAACAAACATTTGTAATAGTTGGCAGCTGGACACAAATTTTTATATTTTACTTTGAGTTGTTTTGACCCATCCTCATGACTTTGCAATGAGTACCTTTAATTTGCTGGTTCCCAGCATGAACTGACCCAAATCCAAGTCAAGTCAAATTTATTTGTTTTGCACATTTAAAACAGGAACTGTTACCAAAGTGCTTAAAATCTACACACTAAACTTGGAGAACTTTGGCAACTTTTATTGTACCTCTTGGTTTTATTAATCCTTGAAGAACAAGTAAAAATTTATTTTAATGGACTGCAAACAGCAGGCTTCAGAGGAAGTGAGTACATGTGTTTGGTGGTGTGCTTGTGCTACCGATCAGCAGAGGAGATTCATTCCGGCTGTTGGTGTTATGCGGCGAAGCCCCGTGCTTCAGCAGCATCCTGACGTTTTCCACCCGGCCGGCCTCAGCTGCCAGAGTCAGAGCCGTGTCCCCGTCGTTCGTCTGCTCTTCCAGGGTCAGCTCCATGGATGTGAGCACTGCAAGGGTGCAACAAGTGTCAGCTCCTTACATCCTCCTCTGCTGCTTTATTAAACTGTTGGAGCGCTCACCTTGCAGCACTGCATGCAGCACCCCTGGAAGTGGCTGTGCAGCTGCTGCGTGCAGAGGCAGCCAGCCCTTGCTGTCGCTCTCTGTGAAGGCAGACGCGCAACTCTTCAGTTCCTGCAGCGCAGCCGCATCACCTGAGGAGACACACCGGAAACAGAAATACTGTATTACCAATATTCAAGCACAACACTGAGTTTAAATTGACTTGCACAACTTTGTACCTTTATTGATAGCTGTCATAATCTTTTTAAAGTTTTCACTCTTGGGTTGATTCCTTAAAAAAAAGAAGCAAAAAGAAAGATTTTACTCTAGAAACACATCTATAAAGCTTCATTATATTCATTATATTATAGCTTCAAGAAAGTGATTTAATTTGAACTTTTACTGTAAATTAATATTTCACATGTTCTTTCCAGGAAAATGAGCTTACTAATTTGTGAATACCATATTGTTCAGACTATAAGGTGCAAAATCCTTTAATTTTCTCAAAAATTGACCGTGAGACTTATAATCCAGTGCGCCTTATTTATTAATTCTGGTTGTGCTTACTGACCTTGAACCGATTTTATGTGGTACATGGTAGAGTTGTATTCGGGCCCAAAAAATCTGATCCAACCCGGCCCTTGCTCGTAGCCATCATTTCCAAACCCCAGCTGACTCGACGAATTAACAGTAATTACAGGTCCGAATCCGAAAACAAAAAACCCTGACATTTTTAATTAGGCTTTGACTGTTTATATAGTTATTAACGGTCGGTGGATGCGCAGCTGAATAAAAGGGGCAGAAGATCAGAGCTGAGCGGATGTTTGTTATTTCATGGCTGTCAAAATGCATTAAAACCCTGATTCTGCCTGCATTCTGCATTATTCACACACAGACCCTGCTCTCACATGTCTGCTTTGTGATCTCACCTGTTTGGATCATCGGCCGCGCGCATCAGCTGAGTGCAGCGGCTGAATGAACGTCTATTTGAGTGATGGATCACTTCCTTGCAGTATAGTCCCATCTGAAGCTTAACTGAACTTTTTACCTCTTTCAAGGCCGGTCAGCTCACGGTGAAATAGTCGCGTGCGGCTGGTGAATGTATGGCAAGCCATGTTGCCATATAATTGGAAACTATGGCAAGCCATGTTGACATATAATTGGATCGCGGCTGATCCGCTGACGCAATCAAAAGCCAGACACCGACCCAGCCTGCCCATCCAGCACATTATCATGGCCCGGCCCACCCCGAATTCGGGCCGGGCTTTGGGCCCGGGTTAGAAATGACAGCTCTAGTACATGGCGCTCAAAAATCTGTCAGAATTAACTTGTTTTGCTTGATGCACCTTATAATTCGGTGTGCCTCATAGTCCAAAAAATACGGTAAATATACATATAACAATCATTTTAAAAGATCTTACGGGTCAGAAACATCTGAAAGAATTTGACTGTTTTTCCTACCAGTCACTCTGAGCTGAACATGGCGGCTTGAAGGCCTCTTGGATACTCTCAAGAATGGCAAACTCAAAGAGCTCATTGTCTATGCCTTCCTGCTCAAAGTCATCCATATCTGAGAACAAAAATGACGAGAGATCGTAACATTAAAGGGATTCTGTCGTGCTGATGTCACATCTGTCTCCAGTTTGCGTTTAGTCCTCTGCAGCTTGTTAAACAGTGACTGTATCGACAGGATTCATGCAGGAGATGGCATCAAGCGTTAGTGTGAACTTGTCATGTTTAACGCCACAAAACGAAGTCATGTTGAGCCTCACCTTCTGATCGACGTCGTCGAGTTCTACAGCGAGCAGCTCGTGTGTTTTTGTTGTGCAAAGTTCTGGGCTGTCTGGATTATTTTTAGAAGCTGCCTGCTTTAGATGACCTGACTCAACTCTGAGTGCGCCTCTCATCTTTTCACTTCCCAAACAACTCCACTGTGACATTTACACCGGATCGTTTGGTGACATGAAGACCAAAAATTAAAAAAAAGTTTGTGCAGTTACCAAAACCAGACAAAAAAATCTGCATAAGATCATAACTGTTGCTTAATTGTGCTGCAGGACTCTTCAGTTATCCACTGCATCGTTATGGGTTATTTTATTAATCTTTCTTTCTGTCCTATTTCCTCAATGTGACCAAAGTTATTATTCCTCACTTCAAATACTACTTTAAATCATCTTCAGAGTCTAAATTAGTTGCAAAATGCATCTGTTGCGCAATCTCATGAGATCTGTATCCTTGTATGAGGACATTGGTCTCCTTGCAGTGTAATATTTTAACCTGTCCACTTTCTGATGCTCCGGTTCAGAGAACTTGCTTTAAATATGTTTAATGTTTTAAGTTCATTGTGTCATTTTTGATTTTGTAATTGCTAAAGAAATGCAAAAAATAATTCAAAGAGCTCAGGCAAAATGCAAACCAAAAAAAAGCTCAGGACTCAGGATGTTAAAATGGGAACTATGGAATTATGATGTATTGATTTGTATTTCATCATGTTGTAATGTATGCGTCATACAGCGTTGCATCATATAACACTGTTTTGTATTGCATTGTCTCTTTTCACGTCATATGGCAGTTTTGTAAAGTTTTGTGCTCATTATATTTTTCATTAAGTTTTAATTTCCTGATATTAAAGCAATGAAACATCATTCCACATATAAATTAGAGGATGATCTGACGATTTTCTACCAAGATTCATTCCAACTACTGTGCTTGCAGTGTTTCATGTAGATAAACATGGCAGCTGCAGTGCCACCTTGTGAGAAGAGTTGAGCTATAATCTTGGTGGATGCTTGAGAAATACTGTGGATTCTATAGTTGGTGCTGTTACGAATGATCCAACTCATGCCCTTAGTTAAAAAAAAACAACACAGAAGCACTTTTTTTTACATAGGTTTGACTTTTTGAATTCATCCAATCATCACCTAGGTTTATACATACCATTATTACAGTACAACCGTATTTTGCCATTAGTAATCACGATTACAGTATTTTGAAGGAGTAAAGGCCAAAATGTTAAGATGATAGGCATGTTGCAGAAACATCAATAATTTCTTCACTACAAGATTTGAAAGTAAAGTAAAATATCGAAACCCCTTTTCTTATAAATAATCTGCATAATTTATCTTCAAGTTCCTGTTGCTATTTAAGTGATTAAGGACTTTTTAGCAGCAGCACAAGCTATTTAGTAAATCCATTCATCCATCCATTATCTTTTACTCGCTTCTTTCATTTTGGGTCATGTCCATTTAGTATATCAGTTATACATTAAGTTAAATTAGCTCCAAATATGAGTTATGGCACTGGGTTAACATGACAGGTCACCTGTGCAACATCCAAAGCATCGGACTCTCCAGCTTAGAATGGCCTACAGTTTTGTCACAACGGAAACAAAAAGATAACATTTAATATATATTTTGTATAAATCACATTTCCTATAAGCTGTCCATGGAAAGATAAGTCCAATTTTAAAATATGTCTAGGCAGCTTATTAATGCAGTTCAAGATTGACTATTTTAGGGATGCACAATATTATCGGCATGGTATCCGTATCGGCCGATATTGGCGATAAAGTTAAATATCGGATATCGGCCATTCACCGATATAAAAGGCGCTGTTTATATATATATATATATATATATATATATATATATATATATATATATATATATATATATATATAGATGTGAAAGACGCTGTTTTTGTATGACTGTTCGAGCGTTGTCATTGTGTTAGAGAGAGTAAATGTCAGGAATAAATTTGACATTAAACATAATCCAAGTTGAAGTGTTACATCATTTTCAGCCCCTTTTTGGCATCTGGTAGCAGCCCAAACTGACAAAGACCATGCAGAATAATGTTGTATTTTAATTCCACAGCCGAGAAAGCTATGTAGTCTCTGTAAGTAGGTCTAGGGGAGAAATATCGGTATTGGTATCGGTTATCCGCCAAATAAGTTTTAACATATTGGCATATCGGATATTGGCCAAAAATCCAATATTGTGCATCTATTTAATGACATATAATTGTTTTGTTTTTTTATACAGCACGTTAAAGCTTTTATACTCTCCTACTGCCTGTTTCCCAAAACTAATTTGATTTTCTTTAGCCCATTGCATCACACCAAGGAGAGACTGTGAGCTTCTATTCATTAAAGGACTTTCCAGGGAAAACTGTGATGGGCAGCCATGTTTTCTGTCTTTAAAAAATCAAAGACAAACCTGGCATGAACGTCTTGTTGGGTTGTGGGAGGAAACTGAAGTCCCCAGCGAAGAGGGAGAGCAGACAAAGTGTCCACTCCTCAGGAAATGAACCATTCGGTTTCTGAAATCATTTGTTTTTTCTTCATTGCTCCAAACTGTCCCTTGTGTCTTGCTATTGATTTGGTGATGGAAATCAATTTGGATAATGGCTTTTACATGGGTTCACTTCTCAGCAAATGTCAGGAGCAGGTTAAGCCATGAATGTTCATATCTCAACCTGGAATCATCCAGAAGCTAAATGTGCTCTAACATAAACCAGTGAGGAAACAACACATTTTATAAGCAATTTATAAAATCAAAAATACAAAAACAATCCACCCCCAAAGGGAGGATTTTCATTTTTATAACCAACAGCTCGGGGAATGAGCCAGACGTATTCCAAAAGAAATATTCTCTCAAGAGAACAAGCACCCACTTCTCCTGATGACCAAATTGATACGTGGGAGTTTATGGAAAAGTCTCAGACAGCGTCACTGTGTGACATAATGATTCAGCTTGTAGGCGGCCTCTCCAGCACGTCAAAACGACCCCACCAGTTTGTCTGAAGTCAAAGCAGACTGCTGGCCCGTCCTCAAGTTCCACGTTTGGATTTGTACACCACTTTTTCACTGACATGAGTCCTTCCTCTGAGCTAAAAGCTTCACATTTCATGAACTGGATTTGAGAATCACTGGACTCTTGCTCCATATGAGGAAGAAAGTAAGTTGTTTCTTGTTATTGTTCTTTTAATAAATCAATCTTCTGCACGGTAAAGTGCACTTATGTGTATGAACGTGGCACACAGGCTGAGGGATGCATCCTTTTTCAGCTGCATTTAGATTCTTTTTAAAGCGCTAGGAGGCTCACCATGCAGTGCTGCTTTTGCACGTTTTATAAAGCGGTAAGGGAAAAACAATCGGTAGGTTTAAAACTGATTTTTCAAAGGAAACCAATCTATTCTCATTGTTTTATTCAAATGACTATTGCACTTTAATTTCATGCTCAAACTGTTATACCAACATGGAATCATTGACCTTTTATTGTCTTGATTTAATGCTTAATTTCCTATTTAAGAAAATAAAGTTCACATTAAAGACATCGTGTGCTTACAAACTCTAATGCACATTGCCTTAATTTTACTACAATTGCTTTTCTGTCAGTCTGCGACATCATTTATCAGCTGCAATTTTCTCTTGTAAATTTCCGCTCAAAGGATTTATCACAAAACATGATAACCATCTCCAAAATGCCAGTAAGGCACCTCCATGCATGCATGGAGGTGGAAAGCTTTCCTGTGCAGACAGATTGCTCCAATTGTATCCTCAGGTGTAATCCAGTCGGCGTCAGTGCGTTTTTCTTTTGTTTTCCCATTTTAACACATTTAACAGCACTAATGTAGACCTGAACATCCAGACGACCTGACTTAACCTTGTTAGTTAGACCTGAACAGTTTATTACAGAACAGGCAGTGTGTGTTCAATGCAACCTCAACTGTTTGATGTACATTTTTTTTCTTCAGATCTTCAGCACAGTTTGTTTCCTCCTAAGTTTGATATCGAGTTTAAATCTCTGCTCTGGAAAGTTCGGAACGCCAATAACTGATGATGTGAACAAGCTGTCTTTATTGGTGAGATTACGTTTGACAGCGTAAATTCCTGTTTAAATGTGCTTCATTTTTACAAATAATTACAAGACTGAAACTCAGATACAAAAATGTTTAATTTTTTTTCATTGCAGAAGCAAAATATCCCCTCTGATTATGAGATTCCTGTTAGTCGCATTCCCAAAGAAGAGGTATGTATAAAAAAGAAACAGTCTGATAGCAAGTACTGGTTTGATGCATTTTGCGTTAAATAAAACATTTGCTTTGCATCGCAGGCCAGCACATGCTGGGTGGTTTTAAATATCTATCCTTTGGAGCTAAGTCTTCGAAAGCTGGCCAACATGTTTGGTACCAACTCCTCCAACAAAGATAACATTTTAGTTTTTATTGCGATGCTCAAGAGCCTACGCTTCACCTACGACCATGAGGAGCTAGTAAGCACTTTACACTCTTCTATGTGAGCGCAAACACTATTTGATCAGCTTAAGTCTATAGTAGAAAGCCATGTGCAAAACACTGCAGTTTTCTTTAAATCGGGGACTGTTTTGCACATTTAATTGCATAAGTGAATTATTTCAGGATGGTTTGTTGGCTGATACCCTCCCCCAGGAAACAGCAATGCAAGTCTTCCGCTGTCACTATCAGGAAGAGAACCTGCAGTCGGGTCTTTACTTCGACTACATCCAAGACCTCTTACATGCTGCCACTCAAGGAACATCGAGCCTCTCGTGCAAGCCACCACCATGCCTTCATCGCAAACTAACCCCAGGTACAAAGGTTTTGATGGATGTTTTAAAACCTGATGGTAATGATTGATTTTTAGTCACTGAGACTGTTTTCTTATTGCAGCAGGTCAGGAGGAGAGTCGCAGACATAGCTGGTCAAAGAGAGCTCCCTTGCTTTTGGTGCTAATCCCCTTCACAGCTTGTGTCGTTCTCATAGCATGGCAGGTAAGAGCTTTACCCTCTAATAACAATCCTAATGCGAACAATTCAAGGTAATCAGCTAATATGAATATCAACATAAAGAATGATCAAGGTTCAAGTTTCTTTATTGTCATTCGCGTCACATGTGGTGCATGAGGGGGAACGAAATTGTGTACTCAGGGTCCCAGTTACACCCAAAAATAGCAGTACTGTTTTCTGTTCGTATCTAGGGCCTACATTTTGTAGAGTTGTGCTGTATTTTTTTCGACACAAAGTTGCGATTTCATTGAAAGCGCTAGCACTTTATTTATAGGCCTATATTTTGTTTAAAACCGGTTAAAACAGTCTTACAGCAAATTCATAAACATTAAATACACAAATTGGCCTGTACAAAAGAAGAAACATACACTAACAATAAAAGAAAGGATCAATTAAGAACTTGCCAGTGTTTTATCTGTTCAGATTTTTTTATTTAATGGAAGAATGACAAACTGATGGTAGCATGAGCTAAGATTAGCTTAGAGGTTTTCACCACATCTAAACATTGATTTATGCTTCTTTTTTGATATTAGGAATAGTTCTTTTAAACTGAGGTTTTGAAAAAGTTACCTTTGTTTACATTTAACTATTTGAACAACTTTAGTAGTACTGACAAGCATTACATGGTTATAATAGCTGACATGTTGTGAAATTTCTGCTGAAAGTGGCCCAGTTGCAAGTAGCATATGTTTCTGCCGCCACCTATACTTTCTGCTACCTGTTGCTAGTTGTAGATCTCTCCTTCAGGCTGTAGGGTCAGCCCCATGGATTCTCCTTCTCCATTTTGCTCTGTTTTGTGTATCGTCTGTTATGAGATGGAGCGTCTTCATATCCTGCTGGATCATATCCATCCACCTCTTCTTCTGCCGTCCCCTGCTTCGTTGACGAAAACTTCTGCGTTTAATAGTCTTTTTATTTTGTTGTCATCTTCCATTCGCTGCACATGCCTGTACCATTTCATTCTTGATTCCCATATCTTATCCGCAGTGCATGCCACGCCAAGCGTTTTTCTGATATCGTCATTTCGCCGTCTATCCTTGAGGGATACCCCAAGAATCCCACATAGCATCTGCATTTCTGTTCTTTCCAGGAGTTCCTCTTCCTTTCTCTTTAATATCCATATCTCAGATCCATAAAGCAAGACTGGGCACACCATCACACCATCATCTTCCTTTTAATATGAATCGGCATCCTTTTGTCACAAAGCACTCCTGTCAACTCCTTCCATTTTTGCCATGCCGTACCAATTCTGCCTTGAACGTCTTCTTCACAGCTTCCTTTGTCATTTATCACTAACCCCAAATATTTGAACGTTTCGTCCTATTTTAAGGCTTTTACTTTTACTATCAAGTGCTTGCTGCCACTATCTGAAACTATCGTGGAGATTAACTTCAGAATCTCCAGCCACAACTAGGTTATCTGCATACAACATATCCAACATATCCCATAGCACTTCTCTCGTAATAAGCTCAGTAGCTGCATCCATCACAACAATAAACAACAGTGGGCTGAGACATGAACCCTGATGAACGCCAACTTTAATCTCAAATGCTGTTGTGTTGCCTTTGCCAGTTCTGACTTTTGTTTTAACACCTTCGTACATGGAACATGGCTACCTGCTACTAGCTTTAGATGCTACTAGCTAAATTTGCTTTCAACTTAACATAATGTTTTATGTAAATAACAGCATAATGTGAACTTGACTGAGGTGTAAAGGTTTATAAAAGCACGTTCACATAAAATACTAAAACATTCTTAAGATTGGAGTTGTTCTGAGACTGCATTTATCCAATTTGCTCCACTCAGACTAGCTGTTGGCTATTTATTTTTATCCAAACTGAGGTCATTCAAAGAGCTATTTACAACAGGTAGAATGCTAATTGTTCATACCTTTCCACTAGATCCCACTTCAAAAGATCAGAAAATTATCTTTAATTGTTAGTGAGTTGTAAAAATGAGTTGTGTTTTTCAGTGAGTATATTCCAAAAGCAAAATTTTCTAGCATAATCACAAAGATGAAGTCCTGGTTAGACACATATAGTTTTGAATAGTGCACTATTTATAATTTACAACCATTAATAGTGATCTACCATTCATAACTAAGGTAACCATGCCGTTCTCCAAGACATCCTACTCTAAAATAAATATTATTTGTGCTAAATTTCCATTCACACAAATGTATGTCTTTTGGTATTGTGGGTCAGTCTAATATAACCTCCCAGATTATGCCCTCATTTTAGTGAGCACTTCCAAGAAGACAAGTCTTGTAAATTTAACAGCAGCTCATTAAATATTTAGGCATCCTTTTAGGCCCTATTAATGCCATAAAGCTAGCATCTGCTATTGAATTTGACTTACAAATGAGTATTCTCAGGGTATTTCTGTGTTTTATTTTAATGTTTGTTTTCATCTATCTTTATCTGCTTCTTCCTTTATTTTAATCAATTTGTTTGTAGGTCAAGACTGGAGGCCGTTTACCAGCGTGCAACACTGTAAACGACCAAATGGCAACTCCCGACATGATCCCAACTGTGTCTATCTCTATCCCACTTCAAACACTCACCCACGCCGCTGACAGTCAGCCAGCGGGGGAGGCAATCTCAGAACATGAAAGTGGATGAAGCATGATGAGGCATAGATAAACGAGTGTGGTCTGTCGCTTTCTGTGCTTTCACTCCACTGAGTGCATGCACCAGAACTGCTGCAAGAGAGAAGGCAGGTGCGTCGCAAAATTCTGCGGGATCTTCGGTCGAGGCAGGAGTTCTTCTCTCAGTCCAGAATAGCTGCAGAATCAAAACCACATCTTTTGGATGTTTTTACTTATTCATTTCTAAATTGTACTAAAGTCATCAACTCACTGATTGCTGTACAATCAGTTAAAACACTGATTTATAACCTGCTCCTATGCTGACTTCTACTGAAATGTACGAGGGTTCATGCAAGAAGTTCATATCTGCAGATAAACAACTGAAGTGATGAATACAGCTTTTCTTATACTGGTTGTTGACATTGTTGTGATCTGTGATCTGTCACAAATTATCAACTTAATAGTCACAAACAACACTGTGAGAAGTTCAACAAGTGTCCCACTTTATGAATCAAAGATCTGACCAGATGGCAGCCTGCCACGGCCTGAGGCACTTTGAATCCACTCATTGTGTTAGGAAGATGTTGCCCAGTGATCTATAGCTGCTCCTCAGCCCACTGCGAGCGTGTTGGGGTTTTTTAGTGCTTCATTCACAGAGTCAATCACGTTCAGTCATGAGAACATGACTCCTCAAGTGTGAGCGCTCTTGTGCTGGATGTGTCAGAGAGGGCGCAAGAGACAGGACAGACACGACGAGGAGAAGTGAGGGAGATATAGACAGATAGACAGATGAACGGATGAGCTCAGTGAGGAGCATAAGGAGGGCTTGTTCTCGTCACAAAAGAGTAGGCCGTAGGCTGGAGGAAATGCCAGTTACAAAAATGACCAATGTCGACTGATCCCTATGAATCAGTAAGCCAAGAATCTCTTCAGACCGCAGGCTATATGGCTGTATCTGCAGTGACTGGTTAGCTTTTTAATAACAGTTCATGATTTACATCCAAAACATGCCAAATAAAGTATGGATATGTCAGTATTAAAATGTTTAATATGGGCTTAAAGGTTTAGGAGAGTTCACTGTCTTATAAATGTACAAATGTATGACTTTCATGTTTGTAATTTTATAAAATGTGCAATTGTGATGTATTTAAGTTATTTTAGTAAAATAAAATGAATCTCTTTCAAGAAGTAATAAACTTTTTTCCTACAATCACAATATTTCAAATATTTGAATGAAAAAAATGGATGCATACTTGACTGTTGAGGGAACTGATTTGATTGACAGCTTATGAACAAAACAAAATTAAAAAATTATCTGCATCTATGTAATTTAATATGCAATGTAAATGAATTGCTGGACATAGGCACTGGCGACCCCCGTGACCCAAAATGGAAGAAGCAGGTAAAAGATAATGGATGGATGTAAATGAATATCTTGTAATGGTGCAAAGTTAAGATTATATCTTATGAATCATAAAGAAAGATTTGATGACTGTTTTCAAAAATAAGCGTTTGTTTGTACAATGTAAACAGATTTAAATACTGTAATGTTGCATAACTGCAGCTCCACTGGACTTTTGACTTGGAGTCTGTCTTTAGCTATTTTTTCTCTGCATTTTTATTAACACCTAAAATAAGTTAAGCTCTGTATGTTCCAAATAAGTCAGTTTGAAAACTCAAATAATTATTATGTTGTGTTTATTTTAGGATACTCTTAAAAAAAAAAAAAAAAGTATGCTTTTATTTTGTACAGGAACATCCGCCGGAAGTGGTCCGACTTTTGTTTTGGAAAGCCGCTCCTTAGCGGTCGCCATTATTCTTCGCGGCTTGACGCTAAAAATAAGACGTTTTGGCGCTTTTATTTATAGTATTTCAGAGTAAATTGCTGCATTCAGAGTTTGTTTAGATAAATCAGTTTATTGGTGGAGTTTGCCACGCAGCCTGGGCGCAGTTATGGACCAGCGGTCCAGTACAACAGGTAAGTTGCTAAGCTAACGTCGGTAAGCTAACCGCAGCTGGCGGTTAAAAAAATAAAACGCAGCACCATCCATCCGCTGTAATAAGAAGACTGCTTCCCATCACCTGACAATGTATATATCCTTGTACCTGCTCTGTTATTACAATGGAATGTATAGAAGTAAGCTTTAGCTGCCGTTATGTTTAAATCAAATCGCCCTTCAGAGAGAATAGTCCGCCTATCAGCTTATATATTTCCGCTTTAGAGAGCTCATGAGAGCAATGGTACTAATCTGACCCAAATATTCTTTAAAGTTTAAACTAACTCCTAATAAGGGTTGGCGCTCAATCCCTCCATCATACATAGAACGTACACACGCAAACGCGCACTTTTCCAACAACTCCACGGCTCAAAGCTGCGTTTGCGCTGCAGCGCCCCCTGCGGCAGATCTGTGCCAATGTTATTCTAATTACAAGAAACTAAATCAAAAATGATTGTCACTAGAATGTTCTGATACTGTACGTTAAGTATTGTGAGTTCAGATAACCTCAGTGATTTGTTGGCTTACTTTAACAGTGTAATGTGCAATATTGGCATTGTTTTCCAACTTTTTTTCAGGTGCTGGGAGTACCCTTCCCTTGGCATCACTCCGCTTAATGGCTTCCCCGCTGCAGCTTACATATTCATACATATGGCAGGTCATGCGGCAGAAAAACGTGAAGAATTATGGGAAAGTGGAAGGGTTTGTGACCATGGTGACAGAGACCATCCCTGATCTCTTGAGTTTCAAGCAGACTGCTCAGCTTATCTTAGGCTTGAGAGCAAGGGTAAAACTACTCTAAACTAGAAGGAGTAAAAACATTAGTTAACACTGTGTTGTTGCTGTTTTTAATCTTAGTATTTACCTTTGGTTGAACGTTTTAAACACTGTTATTTTCTTACACTTAGATAATCTTGGATCTTCTCCAGAAAGATGGCCCCCCAGACACCAGGGCTATTCAGACTCTCATAAATAAACTGAAGGTCTCCACAACGTCAGGGGTATGCCTCTTGTTTATTTGGGAGAAATGTGTACAGTCGCTCACATGCAGCTCTTTGTTTGTAATAGATCAAAATCTAGAACAATAAGGCATGAGTGGAACCAGACGTTTTGTATTTTCTTTTACAGAAAAATGAAGATGTGGAAAAATCCCAGACAAGCTTCTTGGTGCTTGTCCAGAATCTGCTTAAAAACCCCAATGAAAGAAAGCGTTTTTTTAAGGTATCCACATCTGTGTCAGAGTGATTTTAAACAAATATGAGAAGTTGTTACATGAGGCCATAAAAGTTGAACTTAAAGATAATTTTGATGTTGTAATCTTTAGCTTATTCTTATCTTATTTTAACAGCTTCTTAACTTGTTATATGGTTGCTTAAAAAAGCAGTGTTTGTAGACGTAGAAAACATTTGCTTCATAATACAGTAATACACTTTTCTCTCTGCAGGAAATATTCCCCGTTCAGTATGGCGCCAAGTTTGACACAGCACTACAGGCACTGACTGCTGGCCTTGTTTGCAAGCTGGAGCAACTTGTTCCTGTTCCAAATCTGTCTCAGGTAAGCATGCCTGAAGTCACCGGACATTTACTCTCAGAAGAGACGAGTGCAAGAAAGATTAATTTCAGTGTCCTCGGTGCATTGCTCTTCATTAAATTGGGAATTTGGAAGTTTTTTAAGCAGTCAGCTGCCTCAACAATTAGTCTGTAAAATACAGATGATTGTAACTTTAATTTCTTTTCCCTCAGCTTGGTAACATGATCGGAAAGGATTCTACTGTCCTTGATGCATGTGGAGACTTCATTCCCGACACTGAAGTTTTAAAAACTCTACTTCTACACCAGCAGTCCAAAGGGGCTTTTAGTTTTAAAGGTATAGCTCATAACGAGATTTGGTATCGCAGTTTGTAATAAAATGCAGAACAGAGAAATACATAATATATTTTATTTTTTTAACAGCAAGTGTGTCAACCTCGGTGGGCGACTGTGTGCTCTCTTCTCTTGCCTTCATGCCCAAATCGGCAGAGGCGACACCACCTGCACAACCTTCACAATCGCCAATGCGACGGGACGTCACTGTCGTTGAAAAAAGCCCCGACTCCCTTAGTGACAGTGAAGGAGTGGGGGGTATTTCTGATGACGATGACAGCCCGGCACCATCAACAGGCAGACCTCAGCAAGAAGATCAGACTAGTCAAAGAACAGCGTCTGGCAACACAGCAAAGGAAAAGAGCGAGATGCAGACAAAGAGTTCAGCTCAGCAACAGCCTGCCACAACTCCCCAAAGCAAAGAAAATGACGCGGCACCAGAAAAACCAGAAACCAGAGACTTGCAGCAACTACCCCAAAAATCAATTCCTTTTAAGATTGTTCAAGTGCCAGTCAAAAGTCTCTCCACCGTACAGAATGCTGGCGGAGCAGGGACGAAGGATGGACAAAAGCCTCAAACTCAGCGAGTCACGTTGCATCAGTGGGTGTCACAGATTGCTTCTAACACAATGTCGCTCCCCGCCTTGCCGCCTCTTCCAGCTGGATCGCTGCTTGACGACGAACCGAGGCTGAGCATTAGAAGGAAGAAGCAGTTCAGACACGTGGTCGACAGATACAACTGCACCGTGTGCGATAAGAGCTTCCCCTATCAGTCCAAGCTGATGGATCATCAGCGCATCCACACAGGCGAGAAGCCTTTCACGTGCACGGCCTGCAACAAAAGTTTCCGCACGCAGGGTTTTCTCAACAACCACCTGAAGACCCACAGCACTATGCGTCCTTACGCCTGCGGCCAGTGTGGCAAGTGTTTTGCCAAACTGCAGAGCCTCACAAAGCACATACTCGCCCACAACGGCCAAAAGCCTTTCTTCTGTAACATCTGCAACAAGGGCTTCACGCAGTCCACCTACTTCAAAAGGCACATGGAATGTCACACGAGCCATATGACGTTTCCCTGCAAGCACTGCAACAAAACCTTCCCAACGGTGTTCAAGCTGACCAACCACGAGCGCTGGCACACCAGAGACCGGCCCCACATGTGCGAGCGTTGCGGAAAGAGATTCCTTGTCCCCAGCTTGTTGAAGAGGCACATGGGCTACCACATCGGCGATCGCCAGTATCTCTGTTCCCAGTGCGGGAAAACCTTCGTTTACCTGTCTGACCTGAAGAGGCATCAGCAAGACCACATACCCAAAGCAAAGATCCCCTGTCCTGTCTGCCAAAAGAAATTCTCCAGTAAGTACTGCCTCAGAGTTCATCTTCGGATCCACACCAGAGAGAGACCGTACAGGTGCACCTTGTGTGATAAGACCTTCACACAGGTTGGAAACCTGAAGGTCCACATCAGGTTACACACCAACGAGCGACCATTCAGCTGCGATGTCTGCGGGAAAACCTACAAGCTCGCTTCCCATCTGAACGTCCACAAACGGACGCACACCTGCAAAAAGCCCTGGACATGTGACACGTGCGGGAAGGGATTCTCTGTTCCCGGCCTTCTTAAAAAACACGAGCAGCTGCACACGAGGGAGGCAAACCCCGATTTCACTAGAAAACGGGCACACAGGGGAAAGCACAAGAAGCACTCCCTCAATAGGAAATATGAAGATGAAGAAGAGGGCAGCGATGACTATTAATCAAAGAAACGTTTTCTCACGCGAGTCCTCAAACCACTTTTCAAAGTTCATGTTGATCATTGATATGAGTAAAATAGGTCAATTTAAAAAGCAGCTCGATGAGAGATCCTGTAAACATGCAATTATGTAACTCCGTTCGAAACGCTGCCCGGCAGTTGATATTAAATCACGTAGTTCAGCAATCATATACTTTGAGTAATAATAGTCCAACTCAATGTTTCAGTACAACTGAATAACATCAAGCTATTTTATGCTCTTCTAGTTATTTTAGTAATGTGTTAAAAATATTTTCGAACATCATGCTTTGCAAAGGCTCCAGTTATGAAGCCAAAATGTCAGATAGACATGTGAACAAAAGTATTTCAAAGCGTGTGACTGCAGATTATGTTGTCTGTTGTGTAATAAGCTGCTGTAGCATCTATAGAAAATCTTGTCACTGTGTTCTTGTAGGAATTGTAGTGATTTGAAAACCATATAACCACCCACTTATTTTTTTATAACCCTAAAGTGTCCCCACTTTTACAAAAATTTGTATGACAGTGTCTGATTTGTGTTTTTATTTTGTTGCTTTAGTTTTTGTCATCTAACATTAGGAAATGCCAACAAGGTAGATCACGGCTGTTGAAGAGTTTGTAAATGTGTGAAAAGATTTGCTGTTAAATCTTATGTGAGCAGCCAGTAGTAATGTGATTTTCTGTCATTGTTTATCTTTTTCTTTTTTTAAGCCTTTCAGAATAAATATACCCGTAATAATTGAATAGTTTCTAACTGGTGTGATTGAAAAAGTTGTTAAATGTGCATATGAACAAAGGAGCATTCAGAATGATTAGTCGGGATTAATGAAACTAAGTACCATAGCACAAAAAAAGTGTAATCCCCCAGATCATAATTTATTACACCTTTATTTAGGAGAAAACATTCTGGCAGGCTCCATAATAAATAACACAATAAACTAACGACACCCACTATAAATTAAAACTGCGTATTCGTAGTTTACTTGAAATTGATGCGTAGTCATTTCTTTCGTTGCAACACCGTAACTAGGCAACGGCGCAGACGATGAGACGTATCCGATGCAACGGGAAAATGGCGCCATTTTGGAAACCGTAACTAGACAACGCGTTATTGTGTTTTTTTTTTATTTTTTTTTTACTTTTATTGTTGTTTTTGTTGTAACAAACTCTTTATTATATGAATTTGAATGTATTTTTGCGCATTTGTTAAGAAAATAGTAGTGTTTAGACTAAAAGGTACACATTTTATTTTAGCCATTTTTTTCATAATTTTGTTTTTAAAAATTATTTTTGTATAAAAAAAAATATTTCGTAGTTATGACCCTTCACAAGAGTTGTATTTTTTTTTTTGTTGTATCGTCTAAAGTAAAAAAAAAAAAAAACTAGGCAACGCCTTTCGCGCAGATTTTATGACGTCATTAAAGCGACAAGAAAACAACACCATTTTGAAAACTAACTAAAAAAAAACATTTCTACACCTAGCTTGTTTTGTTTGTAAGTTCCAGCTGCGATGGAAAGAAGCGGACATTTGGGCCAAGACGTGAGCTGGTCTCACACAGAGACCCAGGCGCTTCTAGCTGTGTGGTCGGAGGACAGAATTCAGCGTGAGTTGGAGGTATCATTTAGAAATCAAGATGTGTACAGAGAAATGTCAGCTAGGCTGGCCGCGGTTGGAGTGAGTCGCTTGCCAAAACAGTGCAGAGCTAAGCTGAAAAAGCTTAAACACGAATATATAGAAGTCAGAGAGCAGTTTGTCAGTGACACTCCACAGAAACATGTGTGGTTCGACTGTGACAGGACGCTGTCACAACAGACCTGCTGCTGCTACGACTGAATACAGGACTGATTGTACTTGAATTCATGACTTCAGATGTAAAATCAGCTACTTGTCTACATGCTTTGTTAGCAACTTACACAGCACAGTTATTACAAAGTGCCATAAACTGCAGACCTGCTTACATTTATTCTAAGCATTTCAAAGTCAAAGGTCCTTTATTGTCATTCGCATCACATGTTGTACATGAGGTGGAACGAAATTGCGTACTCAAAGTCCCAGTTACACCCAAAAATAGCAAAAATATAAAGTACAAAAAGAAAGTAGATACATAAAGTAATATATAAAGTAAATACAAAGCTCTAAGATGTATGCTAAACACTAATCATGTACAATAATACGGTGCATTAAACAGCAGCCCGAACATGAGGCTGTAGTGAGCAGATGGGTATGAATGAATACAACAGTTTAAAAGGCAAGAGATCAGTATGGATAATCAGCAGCACGGATAAGTTCAGGATCAGCAGCACATGAACATATCAGTTAAAGTGGCATCACAGTGATTTTTCTTTTTTCTTAGTGATTTTCTGGTTAGAGATTCATGAGTCTTAGCTTCAGGGTAGAAGCTGTTCCTCAGTCTAGTGGTTCTGCACTTAATGCTCCGCAACCTGCTGCCAGAGGGGATTGAGGCAAAAAGTGTGTGTGCTGGGTGAGTGGGGTCCTTCATGATGCAGGTGGCCCTCTTCCTGCATCTGGAGGTGTAGATGTCTGTGATGGTGGGGAGGCTAATCCAACAGTCTTCTGTGCAGCCTTCACCACTCTCTGCAGAGCTTTTCTTTCTGCAGCTGTGCAGCCTCCATGTCACATGTTGATGCTGGCGCACAGGATCTCCACTGCACACCTGTAGAAGGAGGTGAGGACTGAGCTTTCCAGTCCAGGTCGCCTCAGCCGTCTGAGGAAGTAGAGTCTCTGATGAGCTTCCTTGATCAGGCTGGTAGTGGCATTTCCACTGGTCAAGAGTTTAAAACTTTTAAATTAACAAATATTCATTATGCTCATTGAAACTGCCCCCCCCCCCCCCCCCCGTGTCAGATTCAGCCAGTGTAACAGACGCACCCGAAACCTTCAGTACGAGTTCAACTTGTTCCATGGAGAACCTGCAGGAACCTGCTTTTTACCCCATTAAACTGGAAGACCCTGCAGCTCCGTGTGCCCTCACCTCACTGACCTCACCTTCAGCACAGACATCAGCCATGTGGTCACCCAGCCCCGGGAGGAGAAAAGGTAAGTTGTGATCAGAAAGCTCAGTGACCGCACATATTAACAGGCGTGTTTACACAATGTTTAAACAGGCTCTTGGTAAAACTATATCAATTTAAAGAGCGAGATCTATCGTGAGATCTGGCAACACTGGAGACGTTTAGCACAACAAGTAAACATGGAAGATATATGAAGAGCAGCTTAGCTGCTGTTGGGCAAAAAGAAAACCAATGGCTGTTCTTTCGGAGATGGTTTGGATTTAAATTGTCACATGAGGGGCAGAAAATCGATTTCTGAAGACAATGCTGAAAACGAGTCCCAACTAAAGGTCAGAACTACAAATCTTTGTCACCATTTAAAACAGTGCTGTACGTGGTGGAGTATGGAGCATGTGTGAAGCTGTAGCTGCAGCTCCGACGATGTTTTCAGCCTCCTTCCCTGAAACAAACCACGGGCCAGAACTTATTTATCTGTGATGTGTTTATGAGAGGAACAGTGAGAGCGCAACATTAATAAATCATCAGTTTATCATATCACTAAAGACACGGTCCTTAGCGGCTAACTAAACGGCTAACGCTTTAGCCGTCTTTTTCCACAGCTGAGACTGGGACCGTGTCTTTAGTGATACGATAAGCTGCTGATTTATTAGTGTTGCGCTCTCACTGTTCCTCTCATAAACACATCACAGATAAATAAGTTCTGACCCGTGGTTTGTTTCAAGGAAGGAGGCTGAAGTCTGTCTGACCTGCAGCTGCAGTTCACACACGCTTACTAATGTCATGAAGGCGGCATCTGAACAGGATTATTATTTAATATATGTAAATAATTTATTTTTTAGACATTTATTTTGTACAGTTACAGCCGTTGTTAATAAATATGCCTGTGTGACAACTGGGACAAAGCTTTGACTCAAATATATTTTTGTTATTACTTTATGGAAAGAAAGAAAATATCGATATATATATATTGTAAATTGCGATTTATCTTAAAATATTGAGATATTCATTTTGGTCCATATTGCCCATCCCTATTTTAGGGGGATGACCTGAACCAAAATTACAGCTGAATCAGCACTGAAGAGAACATACCTACTTCAAATAACATCAGAATGTTACAACATGTCCTACTTGGAACAGATTTGTAAATAGTTTTAGGATCTCTCCAACTCTTTGTCAGCTTTACCTTTACTGGTGGTTTTTTTTTTTGGTCCACTTTTTTTCTTTTCCTTACTTGATATTTAACCTCACATCTCTGATGTCCTTCAGTGTGACTGTGGCCATATTGTAATCATCTTTAATCTTGATTGATGCTTTGCACTTAAGCGGTTTCTCATGTTTCTTCCTTATACAGCTAGGTCCACGTGCAGTTGGTCCAAAAAAGAAGTCCTTACGTTGTTGGCACTTTGGGCAAACCCGGCCGTTCAGCAGGAGCTCCGACGAAACGTGAGAAACAATGCCGTGTACAACAACCTCAGTGCCAAACTGGCGACGCTCGGATTCAACAAAACGGCGCAGAAATGTAAAGAAAAGCTCAAAAAGCTGAAGCAGGACTACAAGAGGATCAAGAACAGTGATCACTTGGATGGAGGAAAGAATCTCTGGTTCAACGTTATTGATCAAGTCCTCGGTTCTCAGCCGGCAGAAACGGCAACGCCTTCTTTGGCAGAACCTCCTCAGCCTGTCGGGCAGGATGTGAACTCTGAAAGTAGGTGGAATTTAAACAAGCAACCATCTGAAAATAATTTTTAATAATTGTACTTTGAGACAAGTAAATGGGCCAGAGGATTTATCACCACAAAGAACTTAAATAATTAGATTTTCTTTTTATTGCAGCTCCGTCTTTTGCGACAAGCTTTTTTGAAACCTGCACTGTCCGCAGCCCATCACCTTGCTCCACTGAGCTCTCCAAAGAACCAGACATTTACATAGTTAAACTTGAAGACAGGGACACGCCCACTACAAGCTCTGCAGAGCAGACTTCTGACGTGTGCTCGCCCAGACACGAAGGAAAGAAAAGATGCAAGTATCAAGTGAATGCTGTAGGAAAGGCTCAGGATTTTTTTTTTCTTCTGCCTCTTTTTAAAAGATATTTCCACGATTTCACCTGCATGGCCTTCTGCTGCAGCTTAAACACTATATCCTTTCCTACGCCTCCATCTAGTGGTTAAAGTTATGCATGACAACAAAACGGCGTTGAACTGCAGAAACTCGATTGATGCGTCTGTATAAATAGTTTTTATCTTAATCAAAGAAAGATAAAATTCTAACTAGTAGTTAAAGTTAAAGCAAACAGAAAAGAGGCTAAAATGAGCAAAACAGTAGCTAAAATAAGCAAAACAGTAGCTAAAATGAACAAAACAGCAGCTAAAATTAGCAAAACAGTAGCTAAAATGAACAAAACAGCAGCTAAAATTAGCAAAACGTAGCTAAAATGAACAAAACTGTAGATAAAATGAACAAAACTGTAGATAAAATGAGCAAAACTATCTAAATTGAACAAAACAGTAGCTAAAATGAGCAAATCAGTAGCTAAAATTAGCAAATCAGTAGCTAAAATTAGCAAAACAGTAGCTAAATAAGAAAAACGGTAGTTAAAATGAGCAAAACAGTAGCTGAAATGAGCAAAACAGTGAAATTAGCAAAACGGTAACTAAAATGAGCAAAACAGTAGCTAAAATTAGCAAAACATTAGCTAAACTGAACAAAACAGCTAAATGAACAAAATGGTAGCTAAAATGAACAAAACAGTAGCTAAAATGAACAAAACAGCAGCTAAAATTAGCAAAACAGCAGCTAAAATTAGCAAAACAGTAGCTAAAATGAACAAAACAGTAGCTAAATGAACAAAACGGTAGCTAAACTGAACAAAACAGTAGCTAAATGAACCAAACAGTAGCTAAATGAACAAAACTGTAGCTAAAATGAGCAAAACTATCTAAATTGAACAAAACAGTAGCTAAAATTAGCAAAACAGTAACTAAAATGAACAAAACGGTAGCTAAAATTAGCAAATCAGTAGCTAAAATTAGCAAATCAGTAGCTAAAATTAGCAAATCAGTAGCTAAAATTAGCAAAACAGTAGCTAAATGAGAAAAACGGTAGTTAAAATGAGTAAAACAGTAGCTGAAATGAGCAAAACAGTAACTGAAATTAGCAAAACGGTAGCTAAAATGAGCAAAATAGTAGCTAAAATGAACAAAACAGTAGCTAAAACGAGCAAAACAGTAAAAAATGCTCTTTTCTTTTTTTTAATAGATGTCCACACATGTAGTTGGTCTAAAAAAGAGGTCCACATACTGCTGGCGTTCTGGGCAAACCCCGCCGTTCAAGAAGAGCTTCGCCGCAACGTGAGAAACAATGACGTTTACCACAGCCTCAGCGCCAAATTGGCGTCGTTCGGGTTTACCAAGTCGCCGCAGAAGTGCAAGGAGAAGATCAAGAAACTGAAGCAGGACTACAGGAAAATCAGGAGGAGTCAAAACACGAGCTGGCGCAGGGCCGCGTGGTTTGGCATTTTGGATGAAGTCCTCGGCTCGCAGCCAGCAGCCTCGAAATGTTCAGAAGCACCGAAGCTTTTCTCAGCAGAAGCCACTCCGTCCATGTTGGACCTGGAGAGTAATGGTGAGCGAACCTGCTTCAGTGTTCACCTCAGTTTCCCTGCTGTCTTGAAGAACATTTGCTTTTTCAAGTTTTTGGACTTGGCTTTAAGCTTATGTGCTCCTTTCATATCAAAGTCTCCACAGATGTAGCTGAGTGGCAGCCTGATGAAGTCCAAGTGCTCATCACTCTCTGGGCCCAGCCAAACATCCAGAAGCAGCTTCTCGCCTCAGGAGCACACAGTGACGTCTTCACGTACCTCAGCAATGAACTGGCTTTGATTGGCTTTAACAAGACGCCGCAGCAATGCAGTCTTCAAGTGAAGAAGCTGAAAGAGAAGTATGAGCAAATTAAACAAGTAGAGCCGTGGGGGAACGATCAAAGCAACTGGTTTGCTATAATGGACGGTGTTCTGTGTCCTGGTGGAGAAACGTCCAAAGACGTGAATTCTGCTCTGACTGCACCTAAATCACCTGAAGGTGAGCGTGCACATGCAGACTTTCACATCTTTAGCCGTCACCGTCTTACATTCCTTCTATGTCTTTCTGCAGATTCCTCAGGAACTGTGTGGACATCAGACGAAGTCGGGGTTCTGCTCTCGCTGTGGGCCGAGGAGAGCGTCCAGGAGCAGCTCGAATCACGTCGGGAAGATGAGCGGGTGTACGCGCAGCTGAGTTCAGAGCTCGCCACTCAGGGTTTTGATAAGACCACCAATCAGTGTCGGACCAAAATACGGCTCCTGGAGCAGGAGTACGGACGGATTAAAGAGGAAAAGTCAGAAAAAAGCAGCTGGTTCGCCATCATGGATCAAATTCACGGCTGCCCCAAGCCAAAGATGGAGACTAAACGCACAGCTGAAGTCACAGAGTCAGCAGAGGGTGAGATGAGCTCAGACGTTTCGCTCCATGTTGCTTTGGATTGGTCATTTTAATGGTTGTGGTTCTGTTCGCAGGCTGTCCGTTGTCCATCCCCTCCCTGTGCCTCCTGGTTCCCACCCTGCGCCTGATGTGTGCCTTTGCCTGGCAGGTGGTCCAGTGCTGCAACGTTGCACATTATAACAAAGTGGAGGAGTTGGTGGTGCTGGTGACGGAGCTGGCGCCAGAGCTGCTTCCAGCCAGAGAGAGAGTGCAGCTCCTGCTCAGACTCAGGGCGAGGGTGAGAGTTCATGTGGCGCTTTCAAATATCATTTCAGAGCAAAACAAACGCTGAGAAAGGCCGACTTCTGTTACAGCTCGTGCTGGAACTGTGTCGCAGTGAGAGCAGAGGCAACCTGCTGAAGGTCCAGCCCCACCTGAGGACCATCCAGGACCTCATGATGAGTTCTGGCTGTGCTCAGGAGGTAGGGCGGTCAAATGTTAGGTGTTGACAAACTGTACACATCAATACAAATATCGATTTAGAAATGTCGGTAAGTAGAAGGTAAACACACTCACTGTATTTAATGTGTGATTTAATTTCCTTCATTGTTGAATAATTAAGTTTAGAGCTTTTCCTTCTGTCTTAAAGGCACTCTGAAAATCTTATGTCTAGTTGTGTGAACGTTTATGAAGCGTTCACACTATTGGGATCCATTTTTCTTCTGTACGTTTTTCGGCACGATTCTCATTTCTCATTTTTCAAGTTATTTCAACAAATCATAAATCAAGACGTTCAGCTGTTTCAGGACAATCCTGTTATGACTGTTGGTGCAACTTTAGCTTTTTGAAACATTTACTTTAACTGACACTTTTTTCCTCATAGGAAATTAGCAAAAATTTTTGTCATTCAAATCTTTAGCTCTGTTTACAACCTTTTACTGCTCCTTTCACGTTTTGTTCCGGTTCAGCTTCTTTGTGCAAATTTTGCTTTTAACTTATTTTCCAGCTACTTTCAGCTGTTTTTCAGCTGTTTTGTGCGCCTTTCCGATTCTTTCTAACTACAACATTGTTGAGCTTCTTCCAACGTATTTTTGCTCCTTTCAGCTGATTTCTGCAAGTTTCAGCTTTTTCTGCTATTTCAGCTACGGTTTATCTGTTTTTGCTATTTTTAGCATTTTCAGATAATTCCAAATTTTTTGCATTTGTTTCAACTTTTTTTCAGCCCAGTTCAGCAAAAATGTGCTCTCTCCACTTCGTTCTGCTAATTTAAGCTTACCAGTACTTCTTCTTTTTAAACTACTTTTCAGCTGTTCTTAGCTAACCAGCTTTTTTCAGATAATTTCCACTGTTTTTGTTCTCATTTCTGCTTCTTTCTTCCTAACTGGGCAAACGTGTTCTTCCTGCTTTCTTCTGCTAATTTTGGCTTGTTCTACCTTTTCAGCTAATTTCAGCTGTTTTCAGATTAATTTTAAGTTTTTGTAATAATTTCTTCTAGTTTCAGCCTAATTTACTTATTTCTGCAAATTTCAGCTTGTTATCCCTTCAGCTTTTTCTGCTATTTCAGCTACTATTTAGCTGTTTTGTGCTAACTTTAGTTTTTTCAGCTAATTTCACATTTTTGGGTCTCCTTTCACCGCTTTCCACTTCCTTCTGGTAATTTAAGCTTCTTTCTCCCATTTCCCATTTCAGCTAGATTTCACCATGTTTTTAGCTCATTTCAGCTGTTTTTCAGCAAGTTCTTCAGCAATAAGTATTCACACTGTATTTTCGCTGGAAATGCAATTTCTCTAGTTTTATTTTTTGGCCACAAATGGACTCACCGTTGCACCTTTTGCGCCTTCTTTTAACTTTGTTCATTTTTTTAAAAAGCTAATATGTTTTTTGCCCTAACTGATAGGAGGTAGAGGAGTTGGAGGAGTCAAAGTCAAACTTTGTGGAGGTTGTTCACACTTTGCTTGATGACCCCCAGGAAAGAAAGAGGTTTTTCACGGTAATGAAAAGCAGAACTAGATAAGCTTTAGCCATGTCTACTTGATATTTAATCTTGTTTTATTAAATATCACCGTCTGTTTGCTTTGCCAGGAGGTTTTTCCCATCCACTACGGCCAACCGTATGAAGCCACGCTGCAAACATTAGTGTGGAAATTCATCTCCAGATTGGACAATCTGTTGCCCGTCCCTGATATAAAACAGGTTGGTTACAACTTCTAGTTGTTTTTTTACATTTCGCAAATAAAAACCATGTAATCATTGTTAAAACTGATTGTGTCGTTGACAAAAATGCAGCTTTTAATTAGTTACTTCAGGTTACCAAGCAGGATGGCTCATTAGCATTATTGTTCCCTTTTGTAGCAGTAGTGCTACATGTTTGATATGATTTACTAAATGTTATTTACAGACGGCAGCGTGGCTCAGCAGCGCCCCCTCTGTCATGGAGGAGTGCGGGCAGCTGGTTTTGGAACGAGAAGAGCTGAAAGCGCTGCTGTACTTCCACGAGCAACAAACAGGAAATACCAACAAAAGTAAATATCTCCGAAATAAAAAAAAAGCATTTATGCTGTAATTTTAATGACTGAATGTTTTGCTTTAAAATAGACATTTTATATAGATGTATACTTTTTTGTCCCCAAGGGGAAATTTGTCTCTGACACTACATAAGTATTATTAGACATCATTATAAAAAGTAAAACTTCATAAAAGGTGCCATTTTAAAGGGATGCACGATATTGGATTTTTGGCCGATATACGATATGCCGATATGTTAAAACTTATTTGGCTGATAACCGATACCAATACCGATATTTCTTCTCCCTAGACCTACTTAGAAGAGACTACATAGCTTTCTCTGCTGTGGAGTTAAAATACTACATTATTCTGCATGGTCTTTGTCAGTTTCGCTGCTACCAAATGCAGATGTCAAAAAAGGGGCTGAAAATGATGTTACACTTTAACTTGGATTATGTTTAATGTCAAATTTATTAATGACATTTACTCCAACACAATGACAACACTCGAACAGTGAAAATTTGTAAATTTTCACAAATCTAAACTCAACCTGTTCACAAGCAGCAAGTGAAAAGTGCATAAGTAGTAGTGCATTAATAAATATGCTTGTCAGTTTCTTAAATTAAAAAATAACTTACAACAGAAGCTTTTAGATCGGTGAGTTATTTTGATGGAATGGCCGATGTCCGATATTTAACTTTATCGCTAATATCGGCCGATACCGATACCATGCCGATAATATCGTGCATCCCTACTATTTTTCATATTTGGAGTACTTTCAGACTGCTTTTCAGTACAAATACATGGAAACTTGCTGATGCTTTATTAAATTAGAAGCCAATGCAGTGTATCAATCATTTAAAATATTGTTTTTTATGGTATTTATTTGTTACAGGCCTCTCTCCAGCTCAGAATATGTTTTTGCCCGTGCTGTCTCTTCATGCCAAAACAAACTCAAGGCAACAAGATGATGTTGAAAATAAAGGAGAGTTTAATTGTGGCATCGGTAAAGAACCATTGAAGAAAAGCATCAGCGCGGAGGACTCGGGGAATGGACACGACCTGAACGAAAACCAAAATGAGGGCAAGACATTTGAAAACTCAAGTATACTTGTTTAGTTTTGTTTTCAAATAAGTATTAGAAACAGTTATTTTTGTTGCATTTCTTTATCTTTCAGGTTTAAAGCCTTTTCAGCCGCATTGCTGCTCTATGTGCTCCTACTCCGACAGCCGAGCGTCTGAACTCCTTCAGCACATTCGACAGGAGCATCTGGTCCAGGAGTCTGGGCCGTTTCTTGCAGCCGAAGGCAACTTCCTTCTGAATGACGAGGTTTCGTTTCGAGGCACTAAAGAATCTGAGTTTGTCAGTGACACATTGAAGGATGTAGTCACCCCCGTCAACAACGGACCCCCGTTTCAGTGTGACAGGTGTGAGAAGACTTACCTCTCCAGATCCTCCCTGATCATCCACCACCGGATTCACACGGGCGAGACGCCATTTCTGTGCTCTTTCTGCGGCCGAGGCTTCAGGCGTTCATCCTACCTGGAGCTACACACGCGCATACACACGGGAGAGCGGCGCTTCAGGTGCCACATATGCGGAAAGACTTCCATCCAGCATCTGACGAGACACATGCGCATGCACCGAGGGGAGAAGAACTACCTGTGCACAGAGTGCGGGAAGGCCTTCCTCTCCTCCGGGGAGTTAAAGCTGCACCGGCGGAGTCACAGCGGAGAGAGACCGTACACGTGCAGACAGTGTGGGAAAGGTTTCGTCACCAAATGCCTGCTGACCGTTCACACCCGCCGACATACAGGCGAGAGTCCTTACAGGTGTCCGCTGTGTCCCAAGTCCTTCTCCAGTCTGAGAGCACAGAGGAAGCACCTGAAGATCCACACCGACAGGAAGTCCTACCAGTGTTTGAAGTGCGGGAAAATCTTCAGGCAAGAGGGTACTTTTAAACTTCACGTTAAAACCCACGACTCAATATGATTGTTTTATGGTTATTATCATTTTTAGTTTATCAGTGCTGAGCATGACTTTATACTTATTTTTAAAAACTGCCATTTCAAAAACACTTGAGCACAAGTTTTAAATTAAGGGGCCTTTGAATGTTATTTATTTAGAAGCATATCAGTTCTATTAAGTTTCTAATGCATGTTTTTCACTTCAGTAATTTTTTTTTATGTCTGCATAAAAACTGCCTAATATTTTATTATTCTTTTTTCCAAATGAGAAGTATGGAGGCCAAATAAACACCTCGGGCTGTTTTATTGGTTTTGTTGTTACATTTTGTACAAAGGTGTCTTTCTGTCTGAGGCGGCCATGTTGGGAGGAATGACCAAGTAGAGGGCGTGATCTTTCTTTCAGATCCACTTTTGTAAAGGGAGCACCTGTTGAAGGACAGAGTGAAAAGGCAGAAACTTCAGTCCAACTGAGTGGAAACTTCCATGTTTTTTTTTTTTAAAGTAGAGTCATGTTTTTCAGTGTGCCTCGTTCAGTCACTTCCACACAGACAGTCGTTGACAGAAATATGCTCACCACTTGTCTGACCCCGTGACCTCATCAGGAAACAGCCCCCCCGCACACACTTCTAGACTGAACCCAACCACACTTACCCTGACAGTCAGCCCACAGTGACTCCTGTATGACTGGGATTGTTCTGGACGATAAGTCATGCAGTCTTTAAGCTGTAATGACTCGACGGTGACAGCTGCATGCAGGGATGAATTGAACATATAGGACATAACAAAAACTGGATCACATGGAAATGAGTCGTACATTTTGAGCAGAATTTCCTGGAAAAGTAGCCTCAATGGCACCAGTGTAATTAGATGAAAATATAATATTAGTATGGCACTTCTTCTGACTCCATAGTCTTGTACAAAAAGAAATAAACGCAAGAATATGCGAAGATAAAACTACACCTGAAGGAAATTTTTATGTTTGTATGTAATATTATTATTGAATAGTTCATACAATTCTTTTAATATACGACCGTTTGTGTACAGTATACTGTAATTATTCAATTTAAAATTTATTCTTAGTAAAACTAGAAAGAAAATGCAGTGTGACTGCTGAATGACTTCTGAAATTTACTGAAGCTTCAACTGAATTTTTAAAAGTATTTAAAAGTAGCAAAAGGCTAGCTACAAGCTAATAATGGCAAAAAGCTAGCCAAAATCTAAAAAAGGTACCAAAAGGTTGGCTTAAAGCAGTAAAGTGTTAGCTAAAAGAAGATCAAGACGTGCTGGAAGCTAACTAGTTAAAGGTTAGCTAGAAAATAAAAGTAGCAAAAGGCTGGTTAAAATACAAAGTTAGCAAAACACTCCAAAGCAGCTAAATATTAAACTATAAGTAGCAAAAGACTAGCTAAAGAAGCTAAAAAAAAAAAAAAAAAGGTACAAAAAGCTAATACTGGTACCTTGCTAGAAGCTAAAAGTAGCAAAAGGCTGATTAAAATACAAAGTTAGCTAAACAGTTAAAAGCAGCAAAACATTAGCCATAAGTAGCAAAAGACTAGCTAAAAGCTAAGAAGCAAAAAATAGGTACAAAGAACTAATAACTTGCTAGAAGCTAAAATTAGCAAAAGGCTGGTTAAATGCTAAAAGTAGCAGAAAGGTTGGGTCTGGTGCCCCTCATTTTCCTCTTGAGAATACCCCATAGCTTCTCAATGGGGTTTAGGTCCAGTGAGTTGGCTGGCCAGTCAAGCACTGTGGCATGGGCGTCAAACCAGGTTTTGGTGCTTCTGGCGGCATGGGCAGGAGCCAGGTCCTGCTGGAAGATGAAATCTGCATCTCCATACAGATCCTCAGCAGAAGGAATCATGAAGTCCTCTAATATATTCTGGTAGACTGTTGCAGTGACCTTAGATGTAAGAAAGCAGAGTTTACCAACACCTGCACTGGACATTGCACCCCAAATCATGACTGACTGTAGGAGCGTTCATGTAAATAATGTCACCGTAATCAATGGAGGGAAGGAAGGTCACAGATATAAGGCGTTTCCTAGCATTCAGAGTTAGCTCTCTGCCAGATTCTGGAATCTTCTCTGATAATCCGCTGAAGCCCACAGTCATCTCTTTTGCTGGTGCATCTTTTTCTGCCACATTTTGCCCTTCCACTAGACTTTCCATTGATATGCTTGGACACAGCACTCTGTGAACAGCCAGCCTCCTTAGCTATGAACTTTTGTGGCTTACCCATCCTATGGAGGGTATCAATGATGGTCTTCTGGCCAGTTATGTCTGCAGTCTTCCCATATTGAACCGAACTGAGTCAATTGAACCAAACTGAAGCAATTTAATGACACCTGGGGAAACCTGTGCAGGTGCTTTGAGTTTAGTAGATGATTAGTGTCACACTCAGTTTAAACATTCATGCCCTGCAACATTTGGGCTGATTTCTCCACAGTATTCTAATTTTTTGAAATCCAGTTTTTGTGGGTTTCATGAGCTGGAACCCCAAATTATGTAAAAATAAACAAAAAAATACTTGAAATCGTTTAAATTGTGGGCCCTGAATCTATCATCTATTAAAGATTAACTTTTTGAATGGAATTATTGAAGTTAAACAACTTTCCCATAATATTCTAACTTTTAGGAAAGGGTCTGTACATATATATATGTGTGTGTGTGTGTGTGTGTGTGTGTGAAAAAATCACCTTTTTATATCGGTGAATTATTTTGATGGAATGGCCGATATCTGATATTTACCGGTAACTTTAACGCAAATATTGGCCGATACCACGCCGATAATATTGTGCATTCCTAAGAAGCAGTGAAGCTGCAAAGAATGTGCAAAACATTTTAAACTAGGAGAGCAACCATGTGAATGCTGACTCAGCAACCACACAGTAACAGGTTTTGTTGGTTGTATGACGTTTTGTTTTGATGGGACCAAGCACAAATCAACTGCAGAGGTTTCTACACGTGGATTTTATTGTGTAAACGAAGCCCATATCTACAAAAATGAAGAGTAAAAAATGACAAATTCCCTGTTGAAATTTAGCGTCCTCTTCAACTGTTTCAGGAGGATAAATCCAGAGCGTGAAAAACACTGAAGTCCTCAATCTCATCCTCTGCAAAAAGGGGGATGCAATATATCCGGCAGAATCATCTGGAAGCCTTTCCATTTTCATGAACATCCATCCTGTAAACAACAACAATCCCATTTAATGTTGTAAAAATGACACAAAGTCAAGACTGGATGATACATGAAGGACTCGTTCACCCGTTCTCCTCTTTGAGGTGCTGGTACAACTCAAACCTGCTGTTCACCGAACTCGCTCGACCAAAAAACTCTTGGTGCTTCCTGGAATTGGCTGCAGTGATCCGGTTGGTCCACATGGAAAGGAGCGTGACGGGCCCTGCAGAGGGAGAAAGGCAGAGAAAAAGGTTTTATAGTTCATATTTTAACCCGGAAACTTAAGTGTTTTAAGAAAATATTGTGCTCATTTTGGCACTAAAACATTAAAACGAGATAAAGTCGAAGTCTAGATATTTCTAAATGTTTTATTTTGAAAAGCGATGACGTGCGCTCAAACCTTTTGCTCGATCTGTTGGCTGAACCTCCTCTGCGACCAGACGAGGCTTCTTGATGAGCGGCTCCGGAGAGTCCGGGGAGTCCTTGATTACTTCGGACACTGCTTCTTCCTTCTCCAACAAACCCTTCAACCTTTGGAGGAGTCAGGTGTGAGAAAACGCCTAAGAACTTCTTATAATTAAAAAATAAATTATGTTTTGAAGTAATAAAAAGCAGTAAAGCAACAAACTGCTCAAACAGACCTGACTGACCTCTCCGAGTCCTGCCAGCTTTTGTCTTCCGTCTCTTTGCTGCCGTTTTTCTCTGACCTATCCTCCCTCTCCTCTCTCTTCCTCCCCCTCTTCTTCCTCTCCTCCTCCTCTGGAGGTTTGCTGCGGCAGGCGATGATGCACTCTAGAACTCGCTGGTGTCTGTCGGTGGCGCTGGCGTGCGTTTTCACCAACGTTTCCAGCTCGTTCCACATTATGCGATACTGTTCATCCCTGGAGATCCAACCAGTGACATTACAAACCGTGTTACCACAGTGCCAAAAGCTTTTAACGTCCGAGTCCATACCTCTTGGGGCCTTTGCCTCTTGATCCTACAGTGGAAATAGGGAGCGGGTCATTCTTCCTCTCCATGTCGACCAGGTTGTAAATCGTTTTCTGGCAGGTTAGAACGTCCTCCTCAGTGAGGGTCTCTTTCACTATCAGGTTAGCCAGAGGAACCACCTGTTGGTGGAAAACAAGAACCCCATAAATACAAAAATGTCCCAAAGCAATGTCCTGTGGTACTAATCTCAAGAAAAAATTTAATTTCTGTGAAAATGCAGCGTGAATGTTGAGCTGAAAGTCTTTGCAGAAAAAGCAAAAACTGAGCTTTGAAAAGTTAAAACAAGCAGAACAGAGGCTAAAATAAACAGAACACAAGCTTAAAAGCAGCAGAACATATTAAACTAAAAGCAGCACAATGGTAGCTAAAAGCTAAAGCAGCAAAACAATAGCTTAAAGGAGCAGAAAAGTCGCTACAAGTAGCAAAGCAAGCTAATATTAGCAAAACAGTGCCTAGCAGTGATGGGCACGGTTCTGCTAATCTGCTAATAGCGGAATGAACTTTCTGTTTAGCGGAGTAAAGTTTTCACTAACTTTAAAAACTTTAGCAAAATTAGCTAACATCAAATTTAAGTTTGGTAAATTCAAATCTGCTATTTTTTTTTTCTTCAAAAAACAGTTCTCTGAGCTAAAAGCATTCAAGAGAATGGCGATTTACAGAGCGATGCTATGCAGAGCTAAGTAAAGCTAACCCAGTGATGTCACCACCCTCGCAGTGCTTTCCCCTCATATCTACCGCAAACAGTCTGATGATGCAAACCAAACCAAAACAGGGAAATAAGACGAAAAAACCATTTTCTCACTCAGAAACGTCATAAATAGAAACATTGCACACACATTTCCTACCCAGCATACTTTGCAATGCTCACAGTCTCTGGGACGTGACTCTCTCACACATTTCACACATTTTTACTTTAATCCAAACAGATCGAGAGAATACTGATGACGATGCACAGCAACTTTGTAGTTTAAAAAAGTAGTTAACCACAAAGAGGATCGCCAAAGTGAGTTAATTCATTATAGTAAATGACACAAGGCAGACGTCCGACATACATTGAATGCATCGTTCTATTTCAGCACAGCAGAGTTCTACTCCGCCTCTTTGGTTTTGATGGACCGGATTCATTACTGAAAGCTCACGTCTGAAGGAGACATTCATTCAACCATTATTTATACAGGTTAGTCTCATTGAGCCACATGCATGCTTTACCTGTGATTTATAAATGGTTTTGAGTTGGGCTCACTTACAACATTGTCACATTACAGACAGTCTTACAAGTTAGCACGTTAGCGTTAGCTTTTGCTAATCTTCTTATCTGTTTAGTGGTTTAGTATTAGTAAAGTTGTTTTTTTAGTTAGCAAATTAGAGGTTAGCAAAACTAACTTTTTGGTTAGCTGTGCCCCCCATTGGTGCCTACAGTAGATGCTAAAAGCATAAGAGTAACCAAGATAAAAGAAGCACATGGTAGCTAGAAGACACAGGCAGCCAAACAGAAGCTGAAGATAACAAGCTAAAAAAGCAGATGCTAAAACTAGCAAAACAGACTCCCAAGTAACAAAACAGATGTGAATATTGGCAAAACTAGCAAAAAGGACTGAAAGGTAGTTAAGATGCTAAAAGAAGCAATAAAAGCTAAAAGGTAGCAAAATGGTAGCTAAAAGTAGCATAAGAAGACAAAAAGTGCAGATATGCTGAAGCAGATTTTTAAGTGAATGAAAGAACAATAGGCTGGTGAAGATTCTCAGTTGAACAATAGATATCTAGGGGATTTTTTAAAATAAAGTTGAATATTATGAAGGGGATAAAAGTTTCAAGTCATAGAAGCATCTCCTGAATGAGCTGAACGTTTTGATGTATGGAGGGTTAACATAGCACAAAGTCTGACTGCAGAAAATATACAGCAGAAACTATAAACAGGAAGTGAAGACAGAATCTGCAGATGGTGCTCACTGCCTGCATGTTGAAGATGGTGGTCTGAGAGATGATCATAGGCCAGTATCTGGTGTGACGTTCCAGCTGAGCTTTGGCCCTCTCGACTGGGAGCTTCCCTGAGGGATTATGGGAGGACTCTGAAACTGGAGTCAACCGGTTTTCCCTCATAAATTCACCAAAATCCTTTAAAAAAAAAAAAAAAAACAACAGTCAGATTAACGTCACTGTTCGTTTCAGCCGAGCTGCTGTGAGCTGAACTCACTGTGATTCTGTAGTCCGTCACTCGGCCTCCGCAGCCTTCGCTGATGGAGGGCGGGTCCTCTAAGGTGGAGCGGTTGCTGTTGAGCACATGCAGTAAGATCTCGCCTCCATGGCTGCTGAGCATGTGACTGATGACCTTTGACCCAGACTTCCTTGGCTGCTCCAGAAGCACCGAACGACCTGTGGTCAAAATAATAAATAAATAAATAATAACTACAAAACAGCTAAACTACAATCAGAATACAAAAACAAACAAAAAACTCACAATAACTATAAAAAACAATGTTCAGCATCCTCATGACCCCACCACAACAAACAAGCAGGTGACAGCTTGAAAAAAATATAAACAAAAATAAATGCAAATCAAGATTTATTCAGCTTACCGTTAAGAAGAAAGTTTGTCAAACACGATGAGGGACGACTGTTTACGTCTGTGGGGGAGATGCGATAAGCTCCCGTGCAGTAATGCAGCTCTGGAAGATGTTAAAAATATTTAATGTGACGTTATTAGAGCAGGCGTTTTCAGATATCACAGTTTCATTATCGTCAGGAACTGAATTTGTCTTTGAAACAGCAAATGTGCAAGAATATGGACGCTTAAAAATTTATTTATGGCAAACAATAAAGAACAAGGATATCTTTAAAACCCTAAAGGCAAAAGCTGTAAATGTGAAAGAAAAAGTGCGAGAGCTTTGGTTGAGAGCGCCTACCGATGCTGTTGGTTCGTGGAGTGCACCATTTCAGTGTGATGGTCTCTTTGAGCCCATTTTCTCGAGTGCTGGTTCCCGCCATGTGTAAGTCGCCTGCGGAACACACATGATTTTAAAACACATTTTAAAATGTTGAACCTAAAAGCAGATAATTAGTAGCTAATACGAGCAGAAAAGTAGCTAAAATGAGCTAAACAGAGGCTAAAACTAGCAAAGCAGAGGCTAATATCAAAATTGTATCTAGCAGAATGGTAGCTAAAACAATAATTAAGGAACTTATTTGAAAATCGTTAAAATTTTATGTTTAATTGTAAAGTTTACAACCCTTCCCATGCTAATTGTAAGAAACACAGATGATGTGTCCAGTTAACATGAGCACTCACCGCTTTTAAAGAACTCCAGGTGAGCGTCTCTGTGATGCAGGAGCTCGACGTCATAATTAGCAGACGTGTTGGCGTGCTGCTCCTCCTGTTTGACCGCACCGACAATCACAAATACGGGTTAGCATGAAGTCGGTGCATAAATAAACAAAAATAAATAAAACGACGTGCAAACTGATCCACAGAAAAGAAAAAAGAAAAAAAAAAACACTGCTGATTTCATGTTCCAAAAGGAAAATGATGAAGGAAAAGGCTGATTGTTAAGCCGGGACTTATGTTTCCAGCTTCTGACTGAATCTTGTACACTTACATAAATAAAGCCTTAATATCTAAAGAGCTGAATCGATTTTAGACATTAAAGGGATGGTGTATAAACTTATCAAGACAACACGATGGACCACGATGGAAAGTTTAGGATAAAAACTTAAAGGAGAGAAACAGAGACTACAAGAAATTCACACAACTTTTAAGGTTTACACACCTAAAAGACACTGATTAGCAACTCAGATGAGGCAATGCTGGTCACAAACAGTTACACGCAACAGCTACGTTTTAATTAGCCACTTTTGTATTTGTTTTAAAACAACAGTCAATTCATGCTGTGTACGTTTTTTTTTTTTGATTTACCAGAAAAGGCTGTATTTTCAGACCAACGTTGCCTGCTCTCTACTTGAGCCTCAGCAGGAAACAAGCGTCACATTAAAACCAGTGTTTCCAATAGCCGAGCTACATGCTGGGAACTCTCTGCCTTCCCCCTGTTTGATGTGTGTGTGGATCAGAGTACTAACCTGTTCGCAAATATTTAATGTGGGCTAGCAAAACAGAAAATACAGCATGAAACCAGCAGCACGTTCACAGTCATGTCAACATGCAGATGAGATGAGATCAACAACAACAACAAAAAGGTTGTGGGGTTTAGGGTGTTGTTATGAGGAAGCATACAGCTGATGATTAAGCTAGCAAAAAATATGTAAAAAGATAGATGTTAGCAATCTAATAAAAAACGGAAATGTGCATTACGAGCCACACATTTTCACTACTAACAAAAAAATAAATGAAAGCATGCCCAAGTTTCTGCAGGTTAAACATGAATGCGCAAGACCACAGAAAATGCTCAGAGGAGGGATTTGTACCTTCATGGGGATGTTTGTTATGGTGGTGGAGGCCAAATCAAAGTGCTGCTGGACCAAAATGTTGAGTTTGGAAGCCAGGTGCCGCCCAGCACGAACGCTGTGAACTTCACTGGTGAGCAGAGGTGAGATCTGACCAGGAAGTGAGAGAAATGTTGAGAATGAACAGCTTTGACCTGAGGCTGTTAGATATGCGTGTGTACATTTAGTCCCTTCAAGCTTCTCACTCACCGCTTTCTTGAGCCGGTCAGACACCAGCGTGTCCTCACCCTGTGGGAAGATGTGAACTAGAACCAGCTCACACTGCTGGATGGCCATCAACCTAAACCCCCACATCAGTTACAGAGATATGAAACATGAGTTAAGACAATGCAGCGTAGTTTTATTCATGCGCAGATGTGTTTTGCAATGCTGGACACTGACCTGTCAGAGCATGCTGCCAGCTTGTTTTGCTCCAAAATGGTTTCCTGAATGCAGTCCTCCAACATGCGCACGTGAGTGTCACTGCCAGAAAACACACACAAAAGTACAGTTAAGATTAATAAGTGACGTGAGCAAATTGTAAAACAACAAGCTGCTGGGCACATCCAGATATCTAATACGACTACTTTTAGCCTTCATCTTTGCATCTTATATAATAATCTGACCATGTTTTGACTCAAATTTCTGTCTTGTAGGCATTTTCTATTGTTGTCTTTACTTTGACTACCGTTATGTGATTACCGGTATTTCATTTGACATGTTGCCTTATGCTAACTGTGAGTCGCTTGTGGTTGTTTTATTGTGCTCGTCTTTATGTTCGTTTCCTGTCCACGCTGTTTCTTTTGCATCCATCACATATTACAATTAATATTTGTACTTTATATGGCCGTCCTGTATCTCTTCTAAGTCTTAAATTGTTCATTTTTACATTTAATGTTGTTTGAATTTAACTTTGTACATCAGATTACATATCATAGCTATTTAAGATTACTCAATGACCAGGCTATGATTAACTTAGGTCACTGTGTGTCACATTTGAAGAAACATGTCCCACAAGCATGTTTTTATGCACAACAACAAAGTTAGAATATTCCAACTGTACAAAATGTTTTTTCCTCTCTATAAAAACATACAAAACAAACCAGGTTGAGACATTTGATAAACAGTTAATTTTGTCTGCTGCATCTGTTCAGTAGTCTGTCGTTTACCTTTTGGCGTTCGTAAGACAAATGATTCGACCTCTATTGGCAACTCTCTCAGCAGTGTCCATTAAAGTGGTGCGCTTCTCATGCTGCAACTCTGTGATCTTGCATAACGACTCCACAGCAGCGACTAGTCCATGCAAGATACTGCAGCACTCTGGGTCCTCACGGGGATTTGGTGGTCCAACAGCTGCCAGAGCTGCCATAAGCTGCAAACAGAGAGGAAATCTACCTCATTGGAAAATCTGAGAGAACGTTTTCACAACTCCTCTCCACAGGAAGTCACATTCATTTGGCTTAGTGAGTTCCAATAGATAGATGGTTACCTCATAAGTGCTCTGATTTTCTCGCCTCCAGCTGTTCAGTATGTGGAACTCTGAGTCACTGACAATGTAATTCACCTGTAAATTAAAAAGGGTCAGTGGCATTGTTCACATCACAATGTGTTTATTAAACTTAAACATTCTAAATTACATACCATATTCTATAAATGTATTATATACAAATTCTAACAGCTTAAACTGCAATGGGCCAGCCTGAACTTAGATACAAGAACTAACATAAAAAGGAATAAACAAACCAGTTTGTCCACTGGGTAAATATCGTAGAGGATTCGGCAATACTCCATAGAGCACTCCACAGCACAGGTCCACAGGGACTTGGACAAAGGGGCCAGAGGAATAACGCCTTGAGCTCGGCTCTTTGTCAACACGTCACACTCCACCTGCTGACGACTGGATTCCGCCATGTAGGGGCAGTGGTCCACTACAAACACGGTCTTGTGTGCCACTGAGAACATCTTCATTTTGCAAAATGTGAAGTGTGTTCTGACCTGGAAGATAAAACAAGACTCAGTCATGTGTAATGAAGTACAGTAATGAAACAGTAATATACTGCAAACAGATTAGTATCTCACTGCTACTTCTTCGTGTGGATATATGCAAAATTAAGATTTTAGAACCCATTTGAACACAAAAACAGTTGTTTATTTAAAACGCCAGACAGCTGTGGCATAATGGCTAAATCAGTATTGGCACAGAGACAGCTTTTCTTAGACTGCTCATTTTACATAAGCTAGTTTGTTAAAATGTACCTGTTGGTAAGTTAACTCACCTGAACAAAGTAATTGAAAAGCAAAGGCTGTTCTCCTCTAAAACGCTATAAAATAGAGAAACTCGCTATCGGGGTTAAAGTAACTTACATGTTTAATACTTCATTCTAAGATTTCCTTACAACCCGAGTCAGCTAAGTGAGCTAATGTAGCACGACCTGCTAAAATGACAACTGCGTTAGCTCGTCTAAGCTACAACGAGGGCGTATTCCTGTCGCTTTTTAGCAAATACATTCAGCCATAAGGAGAATTATTCATTACAGTATCCATTGGATACCTAGCAACATGCCTCTTAAATAATGCACTATTAAACGGTGTTTTTTACACACTTGTCAAAATAAAGCATAAAGTCGTTGGAAGCTAGCTGGTTTGTTATTAGCGGAAATAGCTACAGTGAAGATCCGTCCGTCGTCCTTTTAATTCCCCCTTGAAGTTGAGTCATTTTGAGAGCGTTCCTAGTGCCTTCCGTTTTGCATTACAAATTAAAAATATCGATATAACAAGTTAAATTGTTGTACAGCAACAAGTTGAAATTTAAAAAAAAACATAAGCTATGCCACACACATAGATTGTCTCCGATAAAGGAATATCCACAGCAACGTTAAGGTTAAAACATTTTTGTCGCGCGCCTAAGCTGTTCTTTATATATTTAAGTTTATTTGCGCGGTATACTTTTTGAAACAAAAATCTACAATAAAAAAAAGCAATTTTTCAATTTATAATTACTGTACTGACTTCTTTCCGCATGATGGATTGCACTGTAGTCTGTTTTCGTGGAGGTTATCCGCCCTTCGCTTCGAAGTTGTTGCGCCTCCTTGAACTCCTCCCGCATTATTTGCGTTTTCTCGTGCCTCAACTTGACCAGACTTTTGTCTTGTTCAGACTGAAAGCGGAGTATGTTGAAATAAACAGGAATGTCTTGGGGACGTGCTTGTTTTTTGTGCTCCACGTTAACATCTCTTTGATGACCGAGGCCCTTCGAAACCATGAGCGAAGACGGAATGGAGATGATGGACTCCGCGTCCGAAAACGAGGACTTCGGCGAAGTAAGGTTGGGCATGATAGACGAGGAAGTCGGTAAGATTATGCTTATGTTTTTATTCGTATCTTATTGGTGTCCGACTCAGGTTCTGTTTCTATTTTATCTTGTGGTTTCTGAATTTCCCATCAATCAATGCGCCGCAAATTACTTTAAATTCTTTCATTTACTTTATTATTTACGCATGCATGAAAACAAGAGGTCCAAACTGTGTTACTGATGACAGCACAATATTTAAATATTCAAACTATGCAAAAAAAAATGCGTGCAGAAGAGCAACTGTTCACATGTGGGTGTGTGCTGCACACATTTCACCATTAGGTAACATAAAAACATTCCTGCCAAACCATAATCCAGCTGCAATTAGTTGTTGTGGCTCTTCTAAGAAACTTCAGAACCTGCTAGCGACTGTATTTGTCTTGTTATTAGGATTTCTACCAACTGGTGCTGCACTTTTAAATTTTCCTTATGTTCATGTTTTTATTAAAAGTATGTAGTAAATTAAAGAACAAGTCCTACCAGGAACATAAAAAAGACTGTTTTCTACCGTTATTCCATTGTCATTAAATATTAATACGCTTGTTGATCCGCTCGAAATAGATGGCCGCTTGTCCTGAGCCTGGTTCTGCTGAAGGTTTCTTCCTGTTAAAAGGGAGTTTTTCCTTTCCACTGTTGCCTTTGTGCTTGCTCAGGATGGGAGACTGCGACGAAGTGAAGAGTCAACGAGTCTGCTGGCTTCTTTAGATAGAGAACTTTACTACCGTATTTTCCAGACTATAAGTCACACTTTTTTTTCAAAGTTTGGCCAGTTCTGTGACTTATAGTCGGAAGCGACTTATATACATATTTTTCCCCTATGACCCGAAAGTCCCAGGTTCGATACCCAACCATACCCACATGTCATGGTGTCTCTGAGCAAGACCCCTAATCCCCAATTGCTCTCCGGGAGCTTACATAGCTGCCCACTGCTCCACCTGGGTGTATCCCAAGTGTGTTGGGTTAAATGCAAAGAACCAATTTCGCCATTGTATGGGAACATACAATGATGACAACACGTAGCGCTTTACTGTACTTATAAATGAACTGAATTGAATTGGATTGATCCTTCAGTGGTTCTCACCTGTATATATTGCACAGAGGATCAGGAGGTCTCAGGTTTAAAACCTTCCTAATCCTGTTCTCCCTGTTATTACAGTGTTTTTAAAGGATGCTGTCACTGTGCATATAATTTAATAAATAATAAATAGTAAGTGATGTAGTCGTCCATGTATGTTTGTTACCTTTGGATGTACATTTACAGTGGATTACCATTTGGTGTCTATCATATTCAAGATGGCCACCGCAGCCAAATGACTTTATAAATACAAAAATGACTATATCCAATTCAGTTAGGTCATCTGGATGGTTTCTTTGTTGTTGTTGAGACTTTTCGTCCTTCATCCAAAGGACTTCATCAGTCCGAGGAGTCACAAACAAACTTAGTCCCACAAGCAGCACACTCACACTATGGACCATCCAGTTTGCTGGTGATAAGATGGTTTCTGGGACCCGCCCTCTCCCCCGTCGACTCCTCTGAGGCAGCTATATCCAAAGTGATTCAGAACATCAAAGTTCATGCTCAATAATCCAGGTAAAAAAATCCAACAAAGTTCAGTCAGGTCATCTGGATGGTTTTGTTTTTTTGGTTTTGAATCACTTTGGCTATGGCTGCCTCAGAGGAGTCGACGGGGGAGAGGTCGGGCCCAAGAAACCATCTTTTCACCAGCAAACTGGTTGGTCCACTATGTGAGTGTGCTTGTGGGGCTGAGTTTGTTGGCGCTCCTCAGACTGATGAAGTCCTTTGGATGAAGGACGAAACATCTCAACAAAAAAAGAAACCGTCCAGATGACGTGACTGAACTTTGTTGGATTTTTTAAAATCTGGATTATTGAGCATGAATTTTGATGAAAAAAGTCTATAGCTCAGTCATTTTTACAGATATTGTGCTAGCATTTGATGTGGTAGTAGTCAGTCACACATACTTTTAGCATGACAGCTCACAATATCAGCCAAAACCAGGACAACTGTCATTTCTCAATAAACACATTTATAGTTTGACAGGAAATGTTTTTTTTTCCCATGAGTCTCTTGTTACTAAAACTGAAGTGAGATTCTTTGAGGTCAGTTTCTCCCAGATGCTGTAGAGATGTTGTGTGTTCAGTTGCTGCATCAGTGACTTGTGTTAAACGTATAGGCTAAAGTCAAATCATCTTCATGCGCAGTGTGATTGTAAAGGAACAAAGCTTTCTTTTCCTGTTTGGTCACATTGGCCTTGCTACTTTGCATGTACATTGTGGGGCTTGTTCTATAGAAAGGGAAGTTGGTGCTCGGTTAAGGCGGGAAAGCAGATTTTATTACTTCTGGCAGCTATCAATGTCTCTTTCTAAGGCATCATAGTTAACTGTCTTACTGTATAGCGGGGATGTTTTGTTTTGAAGTTTGGAATTTGCAAGATTAAATCTCAGATTTATCACAGAAGAAATGTGTTGAGGCACAACACTAAAGAGTTTGAGTCAAACTTCAAAATAAAGTTAAAGGGCGATACATGTTTCCCTTTTTTTGATGAGCCACAGTTTATTCTTATGACTCATAAAAACAGCATCTGGTTCTAGTTAGTGTTCCACTTTACATGGCAAGACTTTCCATCATGGATGTTCGGTCTACTGTTTTGTAAAAACAAACAATGCAGTTACACAGCTGAACTTACAGTATTTTATACTTTTGTTTGCTGGCGTTGATGTGGTCAGGGTTGCTGTAGCGTTTGGAGGAACACCGCCGCAGACTCTGACCTACTTTTCTTCTTTGTCCCAGGAGTGATGAATGGGAAATCTCGGACATGAGGTTAAAAAGTATCAGCGAGGGCGAAACGTTTAGGAAAATGAACAACCTGTGCTGCTTCAGTGAACCAAGGGAGAGCAGACAAACAAAGATCTTATAAAGACAGCAGCACCAAGATGTCAGCCTGACTGTTTTAAAGGTCTTGTGGGGGGAAATCAGTGGAGCAACTCAAAACATGGTTCTATTTAAACTCTTTTTTTCTTCTTTCGGCTGCTCTCTTCGTCGGGGTCACCACAGCGAACTAAGTCGCACAAAGACTTGGCAATTATTTTTACGCCGGATGCCCTTCCTGACGCAACCACAGACCACTGAGCTACCGCAGCCCTCTGTGTGGAGCAGAGAGCTGCCATTTAGGGCAGTGTTTTTCAAAGTGGGGGCTGCCAGGGGACGCTAGGAGATCCCAGAAAGCTGGAGAGAAGACGGTTAAAAAAAGCAAACATAAAAAATAGTAATAATACTAGAAAGTTCCTAGAGAAACTTTGACGGGGACTGCCAGGTTGCTGCGATAGCTGTGGCAGCCATCTTGAATCAAAATAGCTCCAAACGTTAATCAGTTCTAGACATTGCTCTGATGATTACTTTCTGTGAGTTTCAAACAAATCCAACTGTGAGTTTCTGTTTTCTTCAGGTGACTTGACAGCAGCAGTTAGTGTGAGGAGTGTTCTCTTATTCATTTCCTATGGGGAAATATGTCGTCTTTGTTAGTAAAATATGAGTGTATCTTTGTTCTGATCAGGCTAATTAGCTACCTTATCTTGATCAGCTTCTGATGCTTATCAACATATCTGAGTTTCATCCAAATAGCTTAAACTTTGTTAGCATGCTAACTAGCATGCTAGGCTAACTTTCATTCCTTTATTTAGACAGGTTAATCCCATTGAGCCTCGGGGACTCAATTACAAGAGAGACCTGATTTTAACAAAGAGTGATGACAACAGTGGATAACAACAACAATAGACAATCATAAAAGCGACATACAGATTTTTTTTTTTGATTTTTTTTATAAATTAAAATAAAATGGCAACCAAAAGGACAGTCAAAAGGAAAAAAATTAGCAAAAAAAACAGCTAGATTATAAGGCGGTGTAGAAAACTAAAAACAAGAATGTCTGCATTGGTTCTTGCCACGAACTTAACAGATGTTTAAAGCCACTTAGAGAGGTCACGGTCGAGAGCTTCAGATCTTTTTGTAAGATATTCCAGGAAACAGGAGCGGAGTAGGAGAAGGCCCTTTTGCCTAGTTCAGTTCTCACTGAGGGAACACTGCATGTAATAATGTCCTGAGAGCACACGCTGTAGCTGCAGCTGCATTTTCCTGCCATATCTGTACAGGTGACCCACCTGAACTTGGTTAACAAAGTACTGATGTTATCTCATATGCTAACAGGTTATGCTAATGCTAAGCTAACATGCTATTGCTATCAACTACTATATTTGATTTGATCAGGCTAATTAGCTACATTACCTGCATTGCCTTGCTGCATTAACGGAGACGGAAAAATAATAAGTAAAGAAACGCTTATTGGGTGTATTATAGTATGTGCCTGCCATGCTTTTGCATTGACATTCCCCATTAATAAAAATTACCCACTAGGGCAATCTGTATCTGTCATTTCCAGATAAACACGCTTGAGAGCGGTTAGATTTCTTTTGTTTGTTCTTCTGGTCAACAGTTTGTTGAAAAGTTGTTTTTTTTCAGCGGGAATATAATACAGTGTTTAAAACATGTTAGTAACATATCTATAACGGAGTCAACACTACTCAAGTTGGCTGCCACAGTCAAGTAACCTTAAAAACACACAAAAAAACTTTAAGTCAGTTTTACAAGCAGAATTTTTTGCATTCCTTCAAGGACCTGTAAGTCTTTAATTTGACTCATTAAGCACACTGGACATTGGAACTATTTTTAGTTAGAAACATTAAAAGATTAATGATTTCCTAACAAAAATCCTACTGAATATGAAGACAAAGTCAAACTCTATGGTTTCTTGTATGTTAATGTTGAGAGGGGGGTTAAGGAAGCTATTTACCGTGTTTTTCGGACTATAAGGCGCATTAAGCAAAACTAAACAGTCAGATAAGTCAAATTTTATTTCAACCCATTCACGATAACTCTCAGCATTGTTCAGTTGTACCACATAAAATAGTTTCGAGGTCAGTAAGCACAGCCAGAATTAATACATAAGGTACACTGGATTATAAGGCTCACTGTCGATTTTTGAGAAAATTGAAGGATTTTAAGTGCAACTTATAGTCAGAAAAATACGTTATGATCCATTTTAATCGTACAAAATCACGTTTTTGAATCATTAAAAGCAGCTAAGCTTTGAGCTAAGCTAACAGGCCGACCGCGGGAAAAAAAAACCTACGTCTTGTCGAAGCTTCAAAATTCACGGTTGAAACCCGTGCCTTCGTGTAAAACCTTGTTTTTCTCTGCAAAAAGAAGCTGAGAACTTGTTTACTGATTTTTTTTTATTAAAAGTTTTGTGTGAAAAATCCTATGATGAAGAGCTAAGACCACACAGAGTGTCCGCCATTTTGAGAACCGAACAGAGACAGTCCATGTCACGTCAATGGGCCTCCCTCCCATTTTTCTTAAAGAGACACGCTGCTTGCGCCCTCACTATCCATCCTTCTGTTCAGTCTTATACTGCCATCCGGTGGTTGAAAAAAGGTACTACACTCAAAACAAATTAACCAACATTTCTTCTTAAATTTGACAATAATTACTAATTATTGTCAAATTTCAAACAGTCGTATAGTTTATCGCAATAACTTCTGAGACAATTAATCGCCCAGCAAAATGTGTTATCGTGACAGGCCTAATCAGGTGTTTCATCCATGTCACCAGAGTGGCTCCTCAGAACCAAACCCCTATTGTGAGGAGTGATAGGGCAATCTGCATATGTATCTAGTTTACCTCAGCTTTATAACTCGAACCTCACACTCTCTGTTCTTTGAACTGAGAAGGCTCCTCGGATGAGAAGTGAAACGTCTTCTGTTACAAATAAAGTCCAGTTGTTTTTGTCTTGAGCTTTTTTGAATTTACCATGTCCGGGATGACCGAGAACCTTCACCAGCGCTTGTATGTTAGTACAACCGGTGTGATTTTATTTGCCGAACATGAAGACAAACACCATTTTTACTACAAAAATGGCTGAGTTAACTCATTAAATCTGCGTGTTTTGTTCCGCAGCGCTCCATTTTCTCCGTACTTGAGTCGACATCAGAGGATGCAGTGAACTCATACTCCCGTTTTCTCCAGCGCTGGACCAAATCTATTGAAGTTTGTTTTGATTCTTATCATATTTGTGTCCTTCTTGTTCTTTCAGTGTACCCTGAAGAGTTCTTACCCACATACCATTCTATTAAAGAATGTTCAACCATAACCAAAGTAGAACAGGTGAGTGTCATTTCTGTACGCTGCATTTAGAAAGGTTACTCATAACACGAGGCCCTTTTAACAGCTGTAATGATGCTTAGCTGTGCCACAAATCCTAATGTGGGAGGGAGGAAGGCGAAGGGCGGGTATCCCAGTGTTTGTTGACACTTCCCATTTCCACTTAATGATGTGTATTCCAGATGAAATCAGCCCGTCGTGGACAGCATTTAACAACAGCTCTGCTTGGTCCTCGTCTGTAAACTGGTCTTTAGCTCCTTCAGCGTGTACGGTGCAATGGAGGAAGAGGCGTATGAGTTTCGCGCTGTGGGCTTACCTGATGGGCTTTGTTTCTGCCCTAAGGTCGAGTATAACGACGAACCCGATTTCCTATTCTTCAACGACGGCAAGAGGAAGATCGATTTCATCCTGGTGTACGAAGACGAGGACAAGAAGGAGTTTGAGAAGAGGCATGTGTTCCAAAGACGAAAGGTAAGTTTTATTTTATGAAATGTATACTCCAACCAGATGTTTTTCACCTTGTTTCGTCTCTAAATTATGGTCTAATTCACTAAATTTGTTGCAAAATCCTTAAAGAATCCAAACAACAATAAATAGAGTACAATTATATATTATTTATCAGTCAAGTTAGGATTTATAACTCTCCTGTGTGTGTTTAATAACACGTGACAGTGAGTTTACTTGTTTTTTAAAATCAAAATGTCAAATTAAACAGTATGAAGATTTAGTCACGTTAAAAACGTCATAAATTACAAAGAAAACCAATTGTTTAACAGCAAATAATTAGGGTATTTATTGTAAAATATAAGTATAGAAGACTATTTGCAAAAGGTATTTGTATTTGCAGCAGGCTGACTTGAGCTTCTTTGATCCTGAATGCGTACAAAGGAATGAACAGAAGCTTTTTCGTGTGTCCAGTGCAGCTAGATCCATGTGCAAAGTTCGGGTGAACTAATAAAAACGATCATTTCTGTCTTTACGTCAGCTGACATGCAGGATATTCAATCATACCAAGTTGGAAAAAGGACTAAAACACAAAACAGGATACAGAGAAACAGGCTGATCCTGCCTTTCACAACCAGCTTACTGTTGTTTGTGTAACACCGTTACTGTAACTTTAAAACCCTGAGCTGGTTTTGAAACCGTGAAGGATCAAATCATCAGGTATTTGAATAAGTTGGAGCTGATAACAGCTGAAATACTGCACGCTGTAGGCGTGGTCAGACATTTAAGAGTTGTTTTTTTCTGACTGTGTTGACTGGAAACACAAGCTCAAGCTGTTCAGCCAGCTTTAAATTCTGGTTGATTTCTCAGAAGTAAAAACACTCAGTCAGAACTCATTTTTCTTCTGCAACTGAAGCGTTTTATCGAACTAAATCCTCTGAGAGCTCAGCTTCTGTCTCCACCAGACACTCCCTTCACCCTGACATCTTTTTTTTTTCTGCTTCTTGTGGTTTTATAAAGATGGCCTCGACTAATTATCAACACCGTTCTGCTGTTTTTGGAGCAGTTGCAATCACTTTTATGTGTAAGCCGATGTTCAAAGGATCTTGGGAAGTCTTAAATATGACTTTCCTGATTTTCTTGGAAACGCTACAGCTGAATCACAGGAAGTCCCAACAATGGAGCTGCCGCTGAGCATAAATGCATTCAAGATACGACTCACCCAGAAGGAATGACGATTTGTTTTGGTTGAGAATAAGCCTGACGTATTAAAGTAACTCGAGCAGAACAATTAATTATGAACGCAAAGTGCATTTCCTGTTAAATATATGAAACTAATGGAACATTCTCTTCGTAATGCCATACTTTGTCCTTGGACTGTATACTATCAACAAGAGCCTGTGTTTGACTTTTTCATATTTTTATTATTTACAGTGTAAATAATCATTGTTTTATTGGAAACGATATTAACTTTAAATTGAGCTTTAAGAACGCTATTAGAAGTCATCTGAAAGCAACAATATTGATATGATTGGGTTATTTGTTTAGCTAGTAATAGTCTAAAACAAAATCTGATTTCTTTAATCCATTCTTATACTAATAATTAGACTTTGAAGAGCTTGAATACATTAAATTGTAAAGGCTAGAAGAGCTTTGAGTGTTTAAACTACCGTATTTTTCGCTGTATAAGTCGCAGTTTTTTGCGTAATTTGCATGCCCTGCGACTTATACGCCAAAGCGACGTATATATGTTTTTTCCCCATATTTATAAACCAATTTCTGGCTGAGATATGACTGTTTTCATTCATTCAGACTGAAAAAAAATTTAACACTACCATTTTCAGCCGCTACATGGCATTTCACACTACTATGGCATGCCATACAATTCGAGAGTTGTATGGCATGCCGTTGTATCATGTAATAGGTAAAAGTGGCTATTAATGACTAGGCCTGTCATGGTAACAAATTTTGCTGGGCGATTAATTGTCTCAGAAATTATTGTGATAAAGAATAATATTGTTTGAAATTTGACAATAGTTAGTAATTGTTGTGATATTTTAAGAAGAAATGTTTTCTCTTATTTTGTTTTGCGTGTAGTACCTTTTTTCGACCACCGGATGACAGTATAAGACTGTTTGAACCGAAGGATGGATGCTGAGAGAGCGAGCAGCGTGTCTCTTTAAGAAAAATGGGAGGGAGGCGCTTTGGAGCTTTGACAAAACTGAGGTTTTCCCCCGAAGTCGGCCTGTTAGCTTAGCCCGTAGCTTAGCTTCTCAGCTTATCTGCTTTTAATGATCCAAAAATGCGATTTTGGACGGTTAAAACAGATTTTAAAGAGAAAAGACAAAGGGAGGGGTCAGTGAAGAGCACCGGAGTTGAGTTTTTTGTCATCCAGTGTCTTCAGTAGAAAGAGAGAGACATGGAAAAACGATAAAGCTGATAAATGAAAATAAGGTCGATAATTTTAATTCATCATGCAATTAACTGATTTATTTTTATTGCGACAGGCCTATTAATGACACAGTCGACTTGCCATAGCCTACCACCGTTGTCTGCCTGGAGCAACCAAATCAGCTTCATTTCGCTGCGCTGCCCCGGTGAAATGCAGCTGATTTGACCATCAAAGTGCATTTATTAAGCAAAAGTTAGACTGAGACACACATTTACTATAATTTCGAGCAAACAAACAATTGTTTTTAAGTGTTAATCTTGTTAAATTCTTGTTAAAGCACTCCCGTTCACGCTCCAGCGACCACCATTTGGCAGCCCATTGATTTTTGGCACAACATCGGCCCACATTTCCGGGTTGTCAGCGGTGACGCATAATAGATGCGATGTATACGGCGAAGCAACATATTTATGGATTTGTCTACTTTATTAGACATATTTGGACTGATGCGACTTATAGGGCGGAGTGACATTTACGGCGGAAAATACGGTAAAATTATTATTGTCTGTCAGTCGGCAGTTTGGCGAGAGGCGATGGCATTTTTACTTGTGTGTGTGTGTTCATTTGTCTGTAGCGTTAGCAAAATATCCCATGGGCCAGTGGACAAGTTTGAATGAAACTATCACGGTCAATGGCGGATAGAACCCAGAGTGCAGACTTTTCACGAGGAGCTCAGGAAACAAACATATATAATGGAACCAAAATGCTGTCTTGGCAGCCTAACTCTACTTAAGGAAGACAAACAGGACCACGAGGAGACACAAGGAGGACCGAGACGGCATGTAACATGTATGATGCTCCACTGAGGGAGCCACAGAGAGTGTAGGGATATATGAAGCGGGACTGTTGAACAAAATGGAGAACACCTGGCGCGAATACAACTGTGACACGGTGAGAGTGGGCGGGGCAGGACCAGAACTGAGAGGGGAGACGTGACAAATTCTACACAAGAATCCCAAAAACTTTAAAAATGAAACAGAAAAAAACTACTTATAACAAAGAAAAACACGACAAACTCTCAAAGTATTCATTTAATGTACTTTGTAAGTCTACAACTGATAACCTGATTTAAGATGGCCACCACAGCTAATTACCTTTAACCAACACTAAAATGACTATAGCTTAATCAAATTGACAGATACTGAGCTGAGTCTTGATGTGGTAGTATCTGGGAGTGATCCTCAACACACATCTCAGGCGGTAACAGGTCATGGCAGATCTTGCAGAGTCACATGAGATTGGAAAGTTTGACTAAAAATACAGTAATTTCCGGACTATTGAGCGCACCTGAATATAAGCCCCGCCCACTAAATTTAAAAAGAATACAAATTGTACATATACTGTATAGGCCGCACTTATGTATAAGCCGCAGGTAGGTGTCTACGACATGAGACATGTGACATGTGACAGACATATATACACAAAGATTTTTTAAAAAACTTTTAAATAAAAACATACTGGTAACGTACACAAATACGTACAGGAAAAGTTTTTTTTTAATCCAGAAATTACGGTACTTTAACTCGTTTCTCATCTTTGGGGTCAAACTAATTTGAAACTCTGACATGGATGGCGGTGGTTAATATGAATTCCTTCAAAGAGTCCTAAGCTGTATTTTTTTTGTCTTTAGAGACGACGGGAGTTCTTTGAGGCCAGCCTGATGAAGATGGGCGTGGAGCTGGAAGCCACGCCCTCTGTAGGTGGAAGTTCTTTAAAGCTTTTTTTTTTTAATGTAACGCCTCATGTTTTTCTTACCTAAACCAAACTCCCGTTGTGTTGAATGCAGGTAGTGGACGACAAAGTCATATTCGTGAAGGTTCACATGCCGTGGGACGTGCTGTGCACCTACGCCGAGGTCATGCACATCAAGCTTCCCATCAAGCCCAACGACATCCCTACCCGCCCCTCATATTGGCGCTTTTTAAACTGCATCACCAAACACTTCTATCCCAACGAAGACCTGATCAGAAAGGAGCCCGAGTTCTTCACCGCGCCCTTCGAGAAGAGTCGCGTGGGTGCCTTTTACACCGAAAACAAGGATCTCTTCTTTACACCGTCCATGCGGAGCAGGATGGCATGTATCTTCCGGCTTTTCTTATTTGTTTTTACAGCTTGCATTTTTTTTAAAGACTTGACTATGGAGGAGTGGCCATTTTTTTTTTTTGATCATATTCTTTTTGTAAAATCCAGGCGTTTTACATCTTGAGCAGAGCTCCCTACGAAGTACGCGGAAGCATCAAGAAGTTTGGCATCACCAAGCTCCTGGATGGTGGAGTGTACAAAGCTGCCTATCCCCTTCATGATGTAAGCTTTCTTGTATTCATCTGCACTGTGCTTTGTTAAGTTGACCTACTGTAAATGTGTTTCATGCTTTTGTTTTTGCTATTGAAGTGCAGGTTCAATGTCAGGTCTAAAGAACAGCACTCTCCTAACGAGAGGCTTCTGCTCTTTAAAGAATGGGCTCATCCCAAGAACTTCTACAAGATGCAACCACTTGACCTCATCAGGTGTGCAAATGCTTTTTTTTGACTCCCCTCGCAAAGAAATCCTGTAGTATTGCAGAAATCCAGGAAGTGCTGCGTTGTATTAACAAAACCTTGATTTGCTTTTTGTTTTATTTCCCTCCGTAGAAGATACTTTGGGGAGAAGATCGGCATTTACTTCGCCTGGCTGGGTTTCTACACCATGATGCTGGCTGTGGCTGCTGTCGTAGGGCTGGCCTGCTTCTTTTATGGCTACCGTAATCAAGAAACAAGCACATGGAGGTATCACAGCTAAATCAATAATGTGTCGTTTGTTTTCTCGATCAGATGTCGTCGACTAGCAGCATCAACAACTCTGAAAGAGAAAAAAGTGGAAGATTTTATTTTATTGTTCATAGTTTAACAATTCAAACCAGAGAAATTGCATTTCCTGCGAAAATTCAGTGTGAATGCTTCTTGCTGAAGAATTTGCTGAAAAACAGCTGAAATTAGCTAAAATCATGCTGAGATGTAGCTGAAGTAGAAGAACAAGCCTATGTTAGCAGAAGAAAGCAGAAAGAACACATATTTGCTGAATTAGCTTTAAATGAGCAGAAAAATTAGGACTAGGAAATCAGCTTAAAAAAAAACTGAAAATTGTGAAAAATAGCTGAAAAGTAGCTGAAAAGGCAGAAAGAAGCTTAAATTACCAGAAGGAACTGAAATAAGCTTTAAAAATGTGGAATTTGCTGAAAAAGCTAAGTTTAGTAAAAAAAAAAAAAAAAAAAACAGCTAAAAAGTAGCTGAAATAGCAGAAAAAGCTGAAACAAGCAGAAAAAACCTGAAAGAAGCATAACAGGCTGAAATGAGAAGACATAAGTTAATTAGGTTGAAAGTAGCAGAAATTCTCAAGTGAAACTTGAATTGATCTGAAAACAGCTAAAATTAGCTAAAAAAAAAAAGGTAGTTGATAAGGTAAAACAAGCTTCAATTAGCATAAGAAAGTAGAAAAAACACATTTTTGCCCAGCTAGGCTGAAAGAAGCAAAAGTTAGCACAAAATGGGAAATTATCTGGAAAAAGCTGAAATAAAAAATTTAAAAAACCAGCTGAAAAGTAGCTAAAAAGCAGAAAGAAGCTTAAATAACCAGAAGGAAGTGGAGAGGGTACATTTTTCTTGAATTAGACTGAAAAAAGTTGAAATGAGTGCAAACAATGTAAAATTAACTGAAAAGGCTAAAAATTAGCATACAGACAGCTAGCTGAAATAGTAACAAAAAAAAAGCTTAAATTTGCAGAAGTGAGCTGAAATTAGGATAACAAGCTGAAATTGGCAGACAGTAGTTAGAAGAAGCACAAAACGTGTTGTAGTCAGCAGAAAGAATATGAAAGGAGCACAAAACAACTGAAAATAGCGGATTAAAAAATTAAATTTGCACAAAGAAGCTGAACCAGAACAAAATGTGAAAGGAGCAGTAAATGTTGTAAACACATCTAAAGATTTGAAGGATGTAAAATGAGCTCAAGTCATTTTCTATTAAAAAAAAGTGTCAGAAAAGGCTAAATATTTCCAAAAACTAGAGTTGCACCAATACCAGAAGCCATAGCAGGATTGTCCTGAAAGAGCTGAACGTTTGGATTTATGATGGGTGTGAATGCTTCCGTTCACACAACAACCTGGAAGGATTTCAGTTCGTCAGAGAGAAATCCATCTGTGGGCTCTGTCTGAGACACCAGTGATAAACCATTACTCAAATCTGGATTATGTTCAGATAAATCACAACATAATTCATAGCAATCCTTTTCTTTTTCCTACACTACCCATACCTTCTCTAACTTAAACTATTTACAACGCAGATTGTAATGCCTTTAAGTAATAATAAATATTTCTGGGATAGAAACATTTATGAAGAAATGACATTAAGGTTTTAGAGCACCTTAAAGATGAATTAGTTTCCAGGAATGACCACCTAAAATATAAACTAGACAAAAAAAATCATTCTGCACACAGCTGGATTAGAGGAGGGTGTGGCAAGTTTCATAAAAATATCTGATGAATATTTAGAAACACCACCCCAAATAGATTTTAAATTTGAAGATTTCTTTTCTCTCTCTCTTACTCTTATCTGTGTTGTTTACATTCCTGTAGATCTTTGTCTCTTGTGTATTTCTCTCTCCTTTAACTCGTGTTGTGTGTCCTTAAACCTTTCAGCAAAGAGGTGTGCGACCCTGAGATCGGAGGACAGATTGTGATGTGTCCACAGTGTGACCTTTGCAAATACTGGATACTAAACAGCACCTGTGACACTTCAAAAGTGAGCCTTTTGTTTTTAAAGGTGTCGATGCTGAGTCAGCATCTTAGTGCGACCATCTCTTTAATTCCTTCAGAAACATTGTTTTTTTTTTAAATCGGCCTACTCTATTATTGTCTTCTTAGGTTACGTTTAGCTCCAAGCTACTCTCCTTCTAGTCTGTAGCTATAGTTTTGCTGGTTCTAGCTACTGTTTTGGTGTTTTTAGCGACAATAAAAGCAGCAAAACTTTGCTTTTTTATCTCTAAAAAAATCGGCTTTTCTACTTTTAGCTACTGTTGTACTCATTTTTGTTAGGGTTGCTGCTTTTAGCTACTGTTCTGCTACCTTTAGTTACTGTTCTGCTACTTTTAGCTACTATTCTGCTGCCTTTAGCTACTGTTCTGCTACTTTTAGGTACTGTTCTGCTGCCTTTAGCTACTATTCTGCTGCCTTTAGTTACTGTTCTGCCACCTTTAGCTACTGTTCTGCTGCCTTTAGCTACTGTTCTGCTGCCTTTAGCTACTGTTCTGCTGCCTTTAGCTACTGTTCTGCTGCCTTTAGCTACTGTTCTGCTACCTTCAGCTACTGTTCTGATACCTTCAGCTACTGTTCTGCCACCTTTAGCTACTGTTTTGCTGCCTTTAGCTACTGTTCTGCTGCATTTTGTTTATTTTTGGGGATTTTAGCGTCTGCTTGTTTTAACTTTTCCAATTCAGTTTTAGCTTCTTTATCCAACTGTAGTAAAGTCACTAACCTTGAATTTAATTTTGTTGTACTTTTTGTTTTTGTCTTTTAGCTAATATTTAGCTACTAGAGAGCACTTCATGTAGCTTAACATGTTGTGAGTGTAAATCAGTTCAGTAAATAAAAGTCTATAATGTAAACCCTGAAAATAATACGATGGCTGAAAGAAATTTGGGATCAGTTTTGTGCTGTAAAGGAAGATTGTTGCCATTTTTTGTGTGTGTTTGTGTCTGCTATTTTATTTAATGACTCGGCAGTTTTATTGTATTTTTTTTTTTTTTTTAGATATTATGCATATTCGACAACTTTGGGACTTTGGTGTTTGCCGTTTTCATGTCAGTCTGGAGTAAGTGGACACTTTTTTTAATCGTTTTAAAGCAATATCCCTAACTTCTTTGTTTATATTTGGTTGTATTGAAAGCAGTAAAGTCTCTTTAGTCAGTTTACATTACATACGTATAAATAGAAGAGACAGATAATAATGGATTGTTTGTGTCTTTGTCCTTCTTCCTGTAGTCACTTTGTTCCTGGAGTTTTGGAAGCGCTACCAGGCGGAGTTGGAGTACGACTGGGACACTGTGGAGTTTCTGGAGCAGGAAATGGCACCTCGTCCAGAATATGAGGCCAAGTGCATCTACGAGAGGAAAAATCCTATAACTGGGGTAAAAACAATATTGTTTTTTATTTTATCGTCTATAAAAAAGTTGATTTTTTTTGGTTAACAGACGTTATGTAAAGTAAAAAAGTGCCTTGTTTGCATGTTGTGGTTACAGTTCATTGTTTATTTTTTACGTGACCTAGGTGAAAGAAAATGTGCCGTATACATCCTGCGGACGGTGCATTCGGGTGTCAATAGGAATTGGGACGGTCTTATTCTGGGTAACGTGAATAAATATTTTCATGCAACTTACTTTCTGTGTAGAAGAAAGCAATACGGTTTAACATTTTTCTTTTGAAAATAGCATTCTGATACCTGACGTTATAAAATCCTGGCACAGCGGTTATTATTTTTTTTATTTATTCAGGTTTCTCTTGTAAATGAATTCCCGAGGCTCAATGGGATTAACTCGTATAAATAAAGGTTGAATTAAATTTTTCCACAACAGTTTGACCCCTCACAGTTTTTCCACTTGATGCTTGTTCAGTCCCAAAATGCCCTTAAAAGAAACCACTCTGTTGTGTTTTCTTTTAGATTATGTTGATCCTGGCATCCATTGTGGCCATCATTGTGTACCGTCTGGCCGTCTTCTTCGCCTTATCAATTAAACTCAGAGATTCCAAGGAGCTGCAGAACTTGGAGCCAATAAAGGAGTACGTGACGCCTCAGATGGCCACGTCTGTCACAGCCTCCATCATCAGCTTTGTTGTCATCATGATCCTTAATATGCTCTACGAGCGCGTCGCCATCTGGATCACGGATTTTGGTGAGTTTTTCATCGTACTTGTTATTTTTTCTTCTCATTTGCTGGTTGTGCACGGTATAATCCTAAAAGCTTCCCATCACTGATTGGACAACAGAGCTTCCCCGGACTATGAGAGACTACGAGAACAGCCTGACTCTGAAGATGTTCCTCTTTCAGTTCGTCAACTATTACTCCTCCTGCTTCTACATTGCCTTTGTGAAAGGAAAAGTGGTTGGCCATCCTGGAAAACCAGTTTATCTTCTGGGAAAATACCGGAATGAGGAGGTATTATAAGTCTGTCTAGCCTGTACTGGTTTTTTATTTGTTGTCAATATTAATTTGGTCTACCTGTGTTGCTTGCTTCTACAGTGTGATCCTGGTGGGTGTCTGATTGAGCTGACCACTCAGCTCTCGATCATCATGGGTGGAAAAGCCATCTGGAACAACATCCAAGAAGTCCTCATTCCGTAAGCAACAAAACAAGAGCTTTGTTTACTGGTTGTATCAAATCATTCAACTCTTTGCCCGGTGTCAAAGCCCTCATGCTAACAGGCAAAAAGTTCTGAAACACTAATGCTTCTCCACAGGTGGGTGAAGAATCGATATTTGCAGTTCTGCTCTCGTCGGGTCGAAGAGAAGGAGGTACCTCGCTGGGAGCAGGACTACAAGCTCCAGGCCATCTCAAAACTTGGACTGTTCTATGAATATCTTGAGATGGGTACGACGTATTTCTGTTAGTGATAAAGTTGACTGCTGTCACATAATCAGGTCCTCGAGGCTCAATGGGATCCACCTGTTTAAATAAAGGTTGAATGAATTTGTAGCCCGTTGTACAAGTTGTTCAGCTGCAGGGAGAACATCATAACTGACGATGCGATGTACGATGCGATGTACGATATGATGTACGATACGATGTACGATACAATGTGGTATGGTATGGTATAAAGTTTATTCATTTTAAAAAGTACAAAACAATTCCATAACAATATAAAAAAAATACAAGAGATTTAAAATGAAAGGCAGCAGAAAGAAGAAAAAGTCTTATTATATCTGCCCCTTTTTTCAAACAATTATTTCAATCATAATAATCTTCAAGTAACAGAACAAAATGAATAACTCTTTCTAATTTTTCTAATTCTAATACAAAACACACACTAAGCTACTTCATATATATTTTTTAACAATTCAGCTTTGATCTTTTTCTTAAATGTACACATTGACTTATCATTTTTCACATCACTCTCTAGAACATTCCACAATCCAACTCCTTGGAATGAGGTAGACCTTCCCTTCAGACTAGTTCTGAATTTTGGTTTGACAAATATCTCTATCCCCTTAAGATTATAACAACTTTGTCTTTTAACAAAATTTCTTTGGATATTTAATGGTAATGTGTTATTTTGAGCCCTATACATAACTGATAAAATACTGTAATCTACTAAATCATGGAACTTCAATAACTTCAGTTGATAAAATAATGTGCTTGATTGTACGATACGATGTGCGATACGATGTACGATACGATGTGCGATACGATGTACGATACGATGTAGATACGATGTACGATACGATGTACGATACGATGTACTATACGATGTACTATACAATGTACGATACGATGTACGATACGATGTTAGAAAATGAATCTGATGAAAGTAGAATTTTTATACCTTGTGTGATGAAATCCTGGCTCGTCTCTGTTTCTTGCAGTCATCCAGTTTGGCTTCGTGACCCTTTTCGTGGCCTCCTTCCCCTTGGCTCCGGCTCTGGCTCTGCTCAACAACCTGTTTGAGATCCGGGTGGATGCCTGGAAATTCACCACCCAGTTTCGCCGCTTTGTGCCGGAGAAGGCCCAGGACATAGGAGCTTGGCAGCCCATCCTCCAAGGCGTCGCTATCTTGGCTGTCGCAACGAATGTAACTTGCTTTTAGAAAGTCTTCAGCAGCTGCAGTTCTACTGCATGTGATGTCATTTACACGGTATTTTTGTCTCAACAGGCCATGATCATAGCATTTACATCTGACATGATTCCACGACTCGTCTACTACTGGTCTTTTTCTGTCTACCCATACGGAAACCACGATAACCACACCATGCAGGGTTACATCAACAGCTCCCTGTCCTTTTTCAATATCAATGATTTCCCCAGTGATTTTATAGGAACCACAGCTGACGAGCCTCGCAACATCACCTTTTGCAGGTATCAAAAAAATATAACCCACCTGGATGCTTTCTGTTTTTTCTCTTGTGTTTGAAGTTATTCAGTGTGTTTTTATTATATGTTGCTTTCATTTTTAAAATTGTGTGAATGTTTATGAAGCATTCACACTATTGTGATCCATTTTTCTTCCATGCATTTATCTGCATCTTTCTCGTTCCACAATTTTTGTGCTACTTCAACAAATCATAAATCAAAACGTTCAGCTCTTTCAGGACAATCCTGCTATGACTTTTGGTATTGGTGCAACTTTAGCATAACTGAAATATTTAGCCTTTTCTGCTATTTTTATTTTCTAATAGAAGATGACTTGAGCTCATTTTACCTCCTTCAGATCTTTAGATGGGTTTACAACCTTTTACTGCTCCTTTCACATTTTGTTCTGGTTCAGCTTCTTTCAACTTCTTTCTGCAAATTTAAACTTTTTTTCCAGCTAATTTCAGCTGTATTTCAGTTGCTTTGTGCACCTTTCAGATTCTTTCTGCTAACTACAACATTTTTGTACTTCTTCGAACTTCTTTCTGCCAGTTCCAGCTTGTTATGCTCCTTTATGCTTATATCTGCAAGTTTCAGAATGTTCTGCTATTTCAGCTGCTATTTAGCTGTTATATGCTAATTGTATCATTTTTTTAGCTAATTCCACATTTTTTGCATAATTTTCAACTTTTTTCAGCCTAATTCAGCAAAAATATGCTCTCTCTACTTCCTTCTGGTAACTTAAGCTTCTTTATGATTTTTTTAGCTACTTTTGAGCAGTTTTATACTAATTTCAACTCTTTTCAGATAATTTCCACTTTTTTCTGCTCATTTCTGCTTCTTTCAGACTAAATGGGCAAAAATGTTCTTTCTGCTTTTTTATGCCAATTTAATTTTGTTCTACGTTTTCAGCTAACTTTTTAGCATATTTTAGCTGATTTCAGCTGTTTTCAGATAAATTCAAGTTTTTCATTGTAATTTTGCTACTTTCAACCTAATTAACTTCTTTCTGCTAATTGTGGCTTGTTATGCGCCTTTCAACTTTTTTTTCCTAGTTTAAGTGTTTTTGCTTTTTCAGCTACTATTTAGCTGTTTTTTTTACTAATTTTAGCCTTTTCAGCTAATTCCACATTTTTTAAGCTCATTTCAGCTCTTTCTGCTAAGCTTATTTCTGCCTTTTCAGCTACTTTTCAGCTTTTTTTGGCTAATTTCAGCTTTTTTAGCTAAATTCCTAATTTTTGTGCCGTTTCTTTTTTTTTAAACCTAATTCAGCCAAAATGTGTTTTGTCTGCTTTCTTCTGCTAATTAAGGCACGTTTTTAGCTAATTTCAGCTGTTTCTCAGCAAGTTCTTCTCCAATGAGCATTCACACTACATTTTCGCAGAAAATGCAATTTCTCTAGTTTTGTTTTATGCCAGATTTATGAACAAAAATGAGGAAATAGTAATTTTCCAAAGCAACATGACAGTCAGTTTTGTGCAGGAAGATGTTCAGGGCTCGTAAACAGAAAGTGATGCATTTTTTCTTTCAGGTATCGAGATTATCGATTTTCTCCTGGACACTCCAGACAATACGAGCACAACATGCTCTACTGGCACGTAATTGCTGCCAAAATGGCTTTCATAATTGTTGTAGAGGTGAGAAGAGAAACATCCTCAAAAATTATATATTTGAATATTCATTGAGACATTAATCATGCTTGTCTCTTTCTTCTCCTCACAGCACATTGTTTACTTTACTAAATTCATCCTGTCCTACGTCATCCCAGATGTCCCGTACGCAGTCAAAGAACAAATCAAACGAGAAAAGTACCTGACCCAAGTTCTCCTTCACGAGACCAGCCTGAAGCTGGTGATTACCAAACACTTGAACCCAGCCCCAGATGAGGAGACAAGCGAGACAAAGCAGGAAGAAGCTCAATGTTGACGAAAACATTTTTTTTTAAGACACAAGACTTTCCTTTTTTGGTGTTTTATCACTTTTTACAAAGTTTTTGTTGCATCCACCCTGTGAATTACACAACAATCCAAACTTCTTTCTTTTGGAGTTTTAAGGCAAAGACAGAAGAAACCACTCCTCTTTAACCACTAAGCTCGTGCATTGGACTTCCTCATTGGGTTTGGTTCATGTCAAGCAACACATCTGCCATTTGTGTGTCGTTGTTCAAAGTGACATTAGGGAAATCCCGTCACTCTTGCTTCCATCAGAATCCTAAAATGTGCTAATAGGATGTTTGAAAAAAAAAAGTTTAAACATTTCTGCACCATTTCTTCAACAAACAGACTTTACATGCAATTTAAATGTACTGATGAACATCTTTAAACTGAAACTTCCAAAGGTCAGTAGCACTTATGACATATAATGTGTTATAAGTGAAAAAAAATATTAAGGCCTAATGCATTAGAATAAACAGCTCAAGACAATTATTTTTCCTTGAGTGCCTTTTGTATCAGTATTACATACATTTGTACCACTTTCCTACACAAATGCAGTAATCAGTGTTTTTTTACATTTTTACACCCTATCTGTTTAAAGCTGAGACGATTTGTCAAACGGATCAGTATGTTACATAACTGTAAATTCAAAGGCGTAAAAATGTACTTTGTGTCGCCTGTTGCCTAAACTAATAGACTTGAATGACTAAAATAGAAATATGTTATTGAATATACATGCATGATGGCTGCAAACATGCAGGAATAGTAATCGTGGAGTAAAATGCTGTTTAGTGAAACGTGTGTAATGTCTGCAGCTGTGTGGGCTTCTGTCTTTAGCTGTAAATATATTCTTATATTTACCGCTGTTGCACTGTTTTCTGCCAAAATGCCTTTGATTACAGATTTAAAATCATCTTCCGTGACCACTGAACTTTGTGATGAATTCTAGGATTGTGCACCTGTTTTATGTAAAATTATGTAAAAAACAAAACAAATAATCAAATCTGCGTTTTTACGCTTTTATCATAAATAAGGGTACTATTTTCAATATGTGTGCTGGCAGTATAATTTATCTATAAACTTTCATTCATAGTTTTTATCTTTGTAATATGTATTTTCAATAAATTGTTTTATACTTAAAAAAAAAAAAGCTTAAGCTTTTGTTATCTAACAAGGTTGTCAGGTCCTGTGGATGGATTCTTTGATGAAACTAATCTTTTATCCAAAAGACTTCTTCAGCGTGCGGAGCTGCAATACAGTCAGTCTTGTAAAAAGCACCGTCTCACCGTCTCATAGTGGATCAACCAGTTTGCTGGTGACAAACAAAACTATCGTAATTTCCGGACTATTGAGTGCAGCCAATTATAAGCCGTGCCCACTACATAAAAAATAAACAAGTAATTTTGTACTTACGTAAGCTGCACGTCTATAAGTTGCGCTGGTGTCCACGTTGTGACGAGATATTTTCACAAAGATTTTTTAAACTTATAATTACACAAATTCCGGTAGTTGTTCTCATGGAAAAAGAGGACCACCAGCCTAATGGCTGATCGTTAGTGCCCTGATGGCCGCTTGCAATAACAGCATTGTAAGATGGTGACAGTTGAACACAGAGGCTTCCGCCCCTGTTAAACGATGGACAGGTTCTCTTTCCTTTCAGGGACCGACATACTCCATCTGAAGCCGAACAGTCGACTCATGGTTACGGGACGTTTGTTTTCGCACACACCTTTCATAGTCCATGAGACACAGATGCAGAGCTGCAGTATACATCACCACGCATGTTTCTTGAGTCTCCACTCGCCCCTGCATCTGCCGTGAGTCAGGCCCTCGGGACGGTTTCTTATTGTGTATGCTGTTAAGTACCAGAACTGTAATCAGTTATACATCGAGGAAACTTAACAGCCACTGGCCAAAAGGATGGCTCAGCACAGAAGATCAACATCATCAGGCAGTCTACACTCATCTGCAGGCCAGCAGTCACTCTTTCAGAAATGAAGATGTTCACATCCTTGATAGAGAAGTGCTTAAGAGAACTCGTCCATTGTTAAACGGGAGCAGAAGCCTGTCAATATCCTGGCTGGGGACCTTTCTGGGTGGAGTTTGCATGCATGGGTTTCCTCCCACAGACCAAAAACATGCATGTTAGGCTGAATGGTAACTCTAAATTGTTCCTAGGTGTGAGTGAGAGAGTGGATGGTTGTTTGTCTCGTTTGTCTCTATGTGTCCCTGTGATGGACTTGCGACCCATCCAGGGTGTACCCCGCCCCTCGCACAGTGATTGCTGGACATGGGCACCGGCGACCCCCGTGACCCAAAATGGAATAAGCGGGTAAAGATAATGGATGGATGGATGGACACCAAAAACATGCATGTTAGGCTGATTGGTTACTCTAAATTGTCCCTAGGTGTGAGTGAGAGAGTGAATGGTTGTTTCGTTTGTCTTGATGGACTTGCGACCGGTTCAGGATGTCCCTTTTGCACAGTGATAGTTGGACATGGGCACTAGTGACCCCTGTGACCCGAAAAGGAAGAAGCGGGTAAAGATGATGGATGGATGGATGGACTTGCTTTTGTTTTGTTGCATAGAATCCCTTAAAAATCGTTCAATAAATCTTTCAACATTTCTATGTTGAACCTATTTATAGTTTTCAGAAACTTGAGCTTAGTTCATTCTGAAACCCAGACCCAATCAGTTTAATAAACAAAACTTTTTTTTTTCGTTGGGGAGAATTTGGCTTGTACTCATTGCTGTCTTAATATCTGCCGTAACAAAAGAAATCCACAAATAACAAAATATTTACATGATACAATTTAGTAAGACGTATTTCGCATTTTTATGTCGAATTTCATGTATTTTACAAGTTTTGATGTTAATTTTTAAAGTCATCTGTGATATTTTGTAGAATTCTGATCAGGCATATCATTTAACACCCTGTAGACGACAGCAAGCTGCGACACGGAATTCTTCAATTCTCTCACGTGCGAGTAAAGTCTACACAGTGCGTTTTAGTACGAAAAGTACACGTATTATAGGTTTTAATCTATAAATTACTCAGACATTGTTTTTAAAATGAGCTCCCAGATCACATGCGTCGGGTGGGTGAGACGTGGCGTTGCCAAGGAAAGACCAGACAAGGTGAATAATGATGTAAACAAGGAGTGGAACGGTCTGTCAACATGTCATGTTAGCTTCTAGCTTCCTTATGAGTTGCCCAAACTGAGTCTCTGAACGTAATTGTTGTGTATACATCATTTTGTGTCAGACAAGTTTTACAGCTGCTTTATTAATAAATTGTCTTGCACTATAAGTTTCTAAATTCAAATGTAAAGTTATAATTGAGATGCAAAGTAATCGTTTTGAGATACTGCCTTTAAATTATAACCTAGAGGGTTTTTGTTTTCTGCAAAGTGGCAGTAATGGGCTTCAAATTGGAAAAGCTCATTACATTAAAAAAAAAAAAAACAACTAAAAAGTTTATTTTTATCAGGTTGAGTTGAGCCCAGACGAGCTTCAGCGCATCATCACTGAGGCAAAAGAAGAGTTGGGGTATGTTTTGATAAAGAACTACACAGTCGCACATTATTTTTGGAACACTAAAAGATTAAGCAGCTTGTTATCTGTTCACTATGTTGGGGTACAGCAATCGAATGTGTGTTCTGGTGTTTTACCCGTTTTATTTCATTTTCAGAGAAGTGGCTGATGAGGATGGAGAGGAGGATGAGGGTATGCCTCCTGAGCCCAATTCTAGCAGCGACTCTGCTTACGTTGGCTCCACTCTGAAGGATGAGAGTGACGAAGGAGAGGAGGAGGAGGATGAAGGTGTACCTCCTGAGCCCAATCCTAGCAGCAACTCGGCTTACGTTGACTGCACTCCGAAGGATGAGATTGACGAAGGGGAGGAGGAGGATGAGCTAGCGGAGTACGGCTTGGATAAATATGATGAAGAAGATACAGGTGCAGAGTGCAACATTTGTGTATCTTATTCTTCTTTTAAGTTTGACTTTCCAGTTAAATTAGCTAAAAGTAAAAACTGACTCTGTGTTTATCTGTAGTGACCTCTAATCTTGGTGAAAGTCTGGCTGGGCTCACAGTGTTCAGCACAAATGAGGAGGACCCCTACATCACCATCAAAGACACAGTGGGTAACTCCTAGGATTAGCTTGATATATTTAGTGCATCTTTCTTTCAAATGGTATCTAATAAATATAAAATATTAGAGATGTTCTTTTTCTTGTATCACAAAAACAATGCTATTAAATTGATCAAGAGTTGCAGAGCCATCAAATTACTTTTATGCACTCTTGACTTTTTTTTTTATTCTTAAGGATCAATATGAGCGAGAAGACTTCCAGATCAAACCCACTGATAACTTGATCCTGGCAGGGAAAACAGAAAAGGACTACTGCAGTTTGGAAGTTTATGGTGAGTGTCTTTAATATATATTCTTTAAATCTGATGTTCTTGTTTATGATAGAACAGGGGTGCCCAAAGTGTGGCCCGCAGGCCAAAGTTGGCCCGCAGATCTGTTTGAGTTGGCCCGCCAAGCTGTCCTCGTTACTATGTTAAAATTTCCTTTAAAGTGTCAATGTGTTTACACTCAGTCATTCTGTCTTTAATGTTGATGTTAAATGGAAAGTCAGCCCAATGACTATTTAATATTCATCCATCCATCCATCCATCCATTATCTTTACCCGCTTATTCCATTTTGGGTCACGGGGGTCGCCAGTGCCCATGTCCAGCAATCACTGTGCGAGGGGTGGGGTACACCCTGGACGGGTCGCCAGTCCATCACAGGGACACATAGAGACAAACGAGACAAACAACCATTCACTCCCTCATTCACACCTAGGGACAATTTAGAGTTACCAATCAGCCTAACATGCATGTTTTTGGTCTGTGGGAGGAAACTGGAGTACCCGGAGAAAACCCACGCATGCACGGAGAGAACATGCAAACTCCACCCAGAAAGGCCCCTGGACCGGGGTTCGAACCAAGGACCTGCTCGCTGAGAGGCAGCAGCTCTACCAGTTACGCCACCGTGCTGCCTATTTAATATTCAATTTTACTCATTTTTGACAGACTTCCTACAGCTTCCTGCCACTGAAAAACATTTTCCTTTGGTCCTGCACTAATACACTTAAAAATCACACATAAAGCGTTTAAAAATAGCCTAAATTATAAATATGAACTGGCTTCAGTTATTGAGCATGCATCAGGATGGCTTCAGTAGTGATTTTAGCCTCTTTCTGGGGCTGCTCATTGTGCTCAAGCACCCCTAAATTTAAACTCAGCACCTCTGAAAAATAAACTATCATTAGGATTTTGTAAGGAAACAGTTCTCAAACCTTAGATTCACCAAAATATTGAATATGGAATAAATGACAACAATCTCAAACGGGCCAGTAAAATCTACAATTTTTTTTTTTTTTGCACTAGTCCAGCCACCTGTCAATCAATCCAGCATGTCAGCAACTGACCAATCAGCAACCTCAGTTTGTCCTGAAGTGAACGCCCCTTACCTGCAGAACTGCAACTTTGCAGTCAGAGATTTCAATACTGAGTTTACATCTTTTGTTTCATGTTAGTCTACTGTAATAAACCTTTGTAAAATACACCAGAATGCAGGAAATGGCATCTATTTTATTAAAAATTCTCAGGGAGAGGACCCCCACCACCACCAACACAGCCTGTTCTGTAATGTTCTTTATACAGACTTGAAGGTGAAATAACTGTATAATAAATAAATAGACTTTTGTTAAAAAAGTATTTGCATTTCTTGTATTATTGCATTTGGCCCGCAGCCCTCTGATAGATTTTAAATGTGGCCCTCTCAGGGAAAATGTTTGGGCACCCCTGTGAAAGAAGCTAAACAAAGGAAACACATTTAGTAGCATTTTATGTAGATAATCTAAAGGAAGTAATTTCTTTCTTCACAGTTTACAACTCTGAGGAAGACTCTTTGTATGTTCACCATGATATTCTGCTGCCAGCTTATCCACTGTGTGTAGAGTGGCTGAACTTTGACCCCAACCCTGAAGAGGAAACAGGTAAAAAAGCATGGAGTCACTGATGATGAACTTCCTTTGACCAAACTTTTAACCTTTTGACCAGGACTGTCTCAGTTAAATTTCACATTTCAAATAAATTAAAGTAATATAGTGTCTCCTGTGTGTCTGAACTGCAGCTAATTATGTTGCCGTGGGCAACATGACTCCTCAGATTGATGTGTGGGATCTGGATGTGGTGGACTGCTTAGAGCCGGTCTTCTCTCTGGGGAGCAAAAAGGCCTCCAAGAAGAAAAAGAAGAGCAAGAAGGTCCAAGTGTTCACATTTGTGACGTTATCTCTCGCTTTGAAGAGTCATTAACTCGCAGCTTCCTGTTGTATTTCAGGGTGCCGCTGCGGAGCCTGTGGAGGGACACACAGACGCAGTGCTGGATTTATCCTGGAACAAACTGGTCAGGTTGGTTGTCTTACTGCAGTTCACCTGCTTAAACCAATACCTGCTTATTTCCAGACATTAAGTTCATGTTTACAGAAACACAAATGCACTTTGCTTTAATTAGGAACGTGTTAGCCAGTGGATCTGCAGATGACACAGTCATCTTGTGGGATCTGTCTCAATGCAAACCAGCTACAACTCTGCGAAGGCATACAGATAAGGTACTCTGAAAATTAGTTCAATTTATTAGTTTTTATACAGTTTTACTTCCTGGATATACTGTGAAAGCTTTAGTTTTTGTAAAAAAAAAAATCATAAATCTTTCTCTTTCTATCTTTCAGGTTCAAACACTAACGTTCCATCCTTTTGAGGCGCAAACTTTATTATCTGGATCTTATGACAAGTAAGTGTTACTCACTTTACATATGGATATTTTGTATTATCAAAGTTTAACATTACAAGTGGGTTTCCCTCTTTAGGACAGCTGTTCTTTACGACTGCCGTAGTCCAGACACGAGCTATCGGACCTGGAGGTTTAGCGGTCAAGTGGAGCGTCTAGTCTGGAACCACTTTTCACCCTGCAACTTCCTGGTAAGTTTCCAACACCTCTTGTAGAGCTTAGTAAAGCCCATGTGTAATCATAGTGATGTCTTCCACAAGAAGAGAACTACATGTGATGGAGACGTTGAGATTTAGAGCTTAGCAGGTATTTTGCAAGCACAAAAACCTTTATGTTGGGAAGAAAGAGGAAAACCCAAAATGTATGACCTGTTTTAAGAGGACATTGAAGTAGGGGATTTTCTTTTTCAACAAGATAATGGACTTTTATTCTCAGGAAGAGGCCGATAGTCTTGGTTTAATGAAAAACAGCTAAGTGTTGCACATTAAACTGTTTGTTTGTCTTTACAAATGAGCTGCAGAACAAAGCTGTGCAATATACAGTAGTCCCTCATTTATTGCAGGGTTTAGGGGACCACGCCCCCCGCGCTTAGTGGAAAAACCGCCAATTAGGGATAAAGTAGTCCCAAGTTTAAGTTCAAGTAAACTTTATCGTCGTTATCATCTCATGTGGTACATGAGATGGAACAACATTATGTACACAAGTAGTAGTAGTAAGTAGTAGTTTATTTTAGTATTTACTGTAGTAGTAGTAGTAAGTAGTTAATTTTAGTATTTATATACAGGTATATATTAAGGTGTTTTAAACCCTTCCCACACTCTTGCAATGTTCTAAACTCTTAAACCTTTGTCATTTTAAAAACACACATACAATACTGTGTATGTAGCTACAAAATTGTACTTGCCGGGCTCTGCAGAACGGGAGCGGCTCTATTCGTGTCGGTACGACTCTGTTCCGTTTCTGCAGAGGTACCCTGCAGCGACCCACAATCAATCAGTATTCTAAACTTTTAATCCTACTAATTTTAACAACATAGTGTAGCTAATAAATTTTACTTACCAGCGTGTCCCCGCTCAGAGGTCCTCAGCCAGTTGAAAGAAAAAATATATATATATTCCCATTAAGCTTGTGATGGACAACCGGATCATCAGCCGTGCGCGTCCACTGACCGGCCGGTTGAAACATGTGGAAAAATGTCCTGTTAAGCTTCAGATGGACCACCGGATCATCGGCCACGCGCGTCCCGCTCAGGGCTCTTCGAGGGCCGGTTGAAAGAAATGAAAAATGTCCTGATGGGCACCGAACGGAGCGACGGACCTTTGTCCACGCACGTTGCTCGGAGGTCCACGTGGGCGGGTTACCAGCTCTCAAAGATTCACGATGGGTCTGGAAGTCTGGCTCTGCTCCAGGGGTCAGATAAAAACTTTACCTCTAGTTTTGTTTTTTTTTGTTTGTTTTTTTACAGCAGAAGTAAATGGGGCTTCTGGACGGGGCCCTGTTGCCCTCTGGGAAATGTGGTCATTATGAGCGGGAATGTAGAGTGGAGGCTTACAGAGAGAAAACTACATAATGGCGGCACCGGTCCAAAATATTTTATTTTTTCATTAACTTTTTACTGTACAGTACTGTATCCAGTACTTTCCCAATCGCATGAGTAATATTAATTAATTATTGTTATTTTTGGGTCCAATATTATATATTATGGACTGTACGTTCACAAACCACCATAGAGCGAGTCCGCAAAAATCAAACCATGAAGTAGCGAGGGACTACTTTAATAAATAATTTTATTTAAGCAACCTCTTTCTGTCTGTTCTGCCGCTTTAATCACATCTGTTTATGGCTGACGATTGTACTTGATGTACAGCACTCAAAAACTTCCAGACAAGCTTGTCTGTTTCAGGGTTGCAACATGTTTTCTCCAGAACACATTTTAGAGCACAGAGGTTTCATGTGCTCGCTCATTTAATAATTGTTCCCAACCACAACCCACACTGTAAAACTGTGTCCTCAGCATTTTTAAAGACTAAAATGTAAAAATCTGTAATTAAATATTAATGGATTGTGTGGTCATGATTCAACAACTATTGCTCGTCTTGTTTTTCTGCAATTAAATTCTTAATGTCTGTGGGTAAATCAGCTTTGTGCGTGTGTGTGTGTGCGTGTGTGTAGGCCAGCACAGAGGATGGTTTTGTCTACTGTCTGGATGCCCGCTCAGATAAACCAGTGTTCACTCTGAGAGCACATGATGAAGAAGTTTCAGGTTCTTAAAGTTTATTTCACTAAATAATTAAATCAGAAAACATTTTGGACAGATTTTTTTTTTTATTCTGACTTATTAGTCATGCACTCTAAAATAAGACATGAAGTTATTTTATAAATCGTTGCAGGTTTGGACCTCAGCAGCCAGATTAAAGGATGCCTCGTCACCACATCGGCTGACAAACATGTGAAAATTTGGGACATTTTAGGCGACAAACCCAACCTGGTGCACACTCGAGATATGAAGATGGTAAAAAAAAAAAAAAGTGCATTTATAGCTAATTCTGCTCTTGAAGTTTGTTGTAAAGTAATCAAATTAATTTATTTTGCCTTTTGTGAACAGGGGGTGCTGTTTTGTGCTTCTTGTTGCCCCGACATGCCCTTTGTCTACGCCTTCGGAGGACAGAAAGACGGCTTGCGAGTTTGGGATATAAGTGATGTTGCAGCAGGTAAAGTTAATGCCAAAACTGGGTTTTCGTTAAAGTTGAAATACTTTTATTTTATTTTTTTTTGTATTTTGAAACCAGCTATTCCATCTTGTATATTAAAGTCAGATATAACTCTGTCAAAGGGAAACTGTAAACAGCACTCTGTTGTGTTTGCTTTCAGTGACGGAGGTGTTTGGAAATCGAGAGCGTTTGGTGGTGAATACAGCATCACAGGCCTCCAGCAGTGCAGCCGCAGCAGACATGGAAGTCTCCTAATGATGCTCTGAATGCAACAGCAACATGTTGATGCAAAAACTGTACTGTGGAAATCCTCAAGGGTCTCCGTTCAGGAGGACACAATTAAATGAAACCACACCTAACACGCAGAAACGCTGAATATGTTTTAAAACAGACCTTAAAAGACTTGAAGAACCTTGTTCAGCTCGTCTCTTACAAAATGAAACTGAACATTTAAGGTCTGGAAAGAAAAGAAAATGTTTCTTACAATATTCACATTTGTAAATGAATGTGATTAGTGATGTTTCCAGGTGGAGGCACAAGTGTAAATAGTTTTCAGTGCATTACAAATGTAATCTGCTAGGATTATTTTAATTCAACACATATACAAGAAACTATTTTACATTTTGATCTATCACTGTTGTAACTGGACTATAGTCAATTATAACAAACGAGACAATTTGATGACAAGTGTTGTCTTTGTCTGAACCCTGCTCATGATGTGCTGTGATATTAAAGTGCTCTAAAATAAAATTGTTCTAATGGGGTTTGCATGTGGTTAACTGACCAGAAATCTGGCCTTAATTTTTTTTTGTCTTAAACTAATATGTTTTTGAAGGTGATAAATGTGTTTTGTTTATTTTTTTTTCCCCAAAATAAATTGTGTACCTTTTTGTTTATTTATAGTTACAAAAATTGAAGAAGGATTAAAGATGGATGAAATAATAAGCCATGATTTCGGGGGGTTATGCTTGCCTAACATGTTTTTAATTAAGTTTGGCAAAAGCTGTGAGAAGCAAATTACCTTATAGATTTATGTGCAGATTGCCCTACCAGGTAAACAGCCAGGTATAATTAACCCTGAAGTGTTTTCATTACAAACTCATGAGTTGGACATATCCTATCCAGCCATATACACTTAATAATGAAATAGAAAAATGGAAAATGATGACCTTGAAATTAAAAAGTGACAGCTATTAATATTGTTCTTCTTGACTTGGCTTAAAATATGTTAAACTAATTACAATGGGATACTCTAGATAAAATGGCGTGTTTGGGACCGAATTATTTTATTCCAGTTTTTTTGTTTTGTTTATACGTTTTCTGGACGTGAAGCGGAACGTTTGACCCTGACCACGACGAGAAGACGGAAGTATTTTAGTGACGCACTGTCCAAAATAACAGCATGGCGTCCGGTCACTTGTGCAAGCTGCACGGTATTTTAACTCGATTTGCTTACGGTCCCGCACTGCGAAATGGTCAAAGTGAGTACCATGAGTATTGAATATAAATTATTGATTGATCTGACGGAATTTGTCTTTTAAACCGTTAGCATGCTGATAATAGTGGCTAAAGCTAACGCTTGGCTAACCTTGACAGTCCGTTCAAAATGTAAACATTTTGTATTTCTTTGACGCTTTAATAAAAACATATTGATGTTAAAAAACTGCCGTAAAAGTTTGACTAAAACAAAGTTACTATTTTTAGTAGTGATTGTATTTTAGTGTTTCGTTACCCCTGACTTTTAATCAACGACTAAAAATATTAAATTTGATTACTTTGTTTGCAAATAAACCATCACCTGTTAAACTTTCCTATACGATTATAGTAATTGCTCATGTTTTACATATTTTAGCGAATCTTCAGTTAATCTAAAATTTTGTCTTGAAACGTTTCTACATTTTTGTTGTTGTTGTTTTGCTTTGTGTTGTTTTTTAAATGTCCAGAGGACCAGATTTAACTTTTTTTTTTTTTTTAGATTTTTCTACCTGGATTATTGAGCGTGCATCAGGATGTCTTGTGTTTTAATGAAGCTTTTCATTTTCCTTTTGTTGCAGCTTGTATTGTGTCTGTTCGACAGAAGTCCAGTGCCAACACACTTAATGGCCCTAATTGGTATGTAACAAATCTCATCATCAACATCTGTTAAATTAAAATGTGTATTAACTGTTTTCATGGGGATAGTGAGTGGATACATGATAATTAATAGTGGCAAAAGCATTGAGGCTATGATGAGCTGCAGATTATTATCAGTAAGATTGATCTTGCTTGAACAATTCTGTGATCACAAGAACCCATGTTCAAGTTGTTAATTTTTTATGTGGTTATAGCATTGCTCAATTAAAGAAGAAATATGTTCTATAAAATATTTTAACTCATCAAAACCTTTTTATATAAATATCGTCTTTAGTAGTAGAACTGTGTTCCAATGGCAGAAAGTTGGCCTGGACAATAAGTTTTTATTTTTATTCTTTTTTTTAGTAAAGTGGAAATAGCCGTAACTTCAGATGAGAAAACCATTGTGTGCTACCATCCTGCTGCTGACATTCCTTATGAGTTCACTCGGGTAAGCACACACCGCTCTTACGAATAACAGCTTGATTATCTGACTTTTAGATGATTTTTCTTAAGGAAAATTTTGTTTGAATGGATTGTACACTATTTTATTTGTCCACATTGTCATAATTTAGTCACATCATCTAGACTGTAAATATACAGTACCTAAACAAGCGCTCACTTGCACAAACTTAATACAGAACACAGACTGTATGGAATCCCATTATGTCATTAAATCTTTTCAGCCTATTGAACGACCAGACCCATTGACCGGCCCGGCAGAGTCTCATGATCAGGTTTTGAAGGCCCACCTGAGCAATGAGCTGCTGAAGGTTAAAAAAGGCTACATGAAGGGTAAAAAAGGCTCCACTGAAGAGGAACTGGGCAAGATGTTTTTCACCACAAAACATCGGTTTTATCCAGTAGGACAGTAAGTCACAAGCAAACTATATACTAATACAATTTTATTGCAGAAAAAAAGTAACTTTCTTGTTGATGATTTACTTTAAATACTGCTGTATCTTTAATAAATGTATTTATTTATTGAGGTTTGGTGTGACTTTAGCAGATGCAATGTGCAAAGATTGGGACTTTTAGCTATACGTTTGTTTTAGTCATTACTGAGTCAAGTCGGCAAGCTGGAGGTTCAACATTAAGTATCAGCAAGAAAATCTAAAGAATCCTAAAGTTTGAGTGTAGCTTGGAGGAAAAAGAAACATGGTGCACATAAATTTGACCCAAATATTCATTGTCCTCTGTTTCAATGCTTACAGGTTTCACATGAGGCGTATCAAGAAAACCCCCCCAAAGGACAGATAATTCAAGTTCCAAGTCTGTTTGTCTGTCAGTTTGCTTTTGTCTAAGTATTGAATAATAAACTGCTCAATATTCCATATTTTATAATTTATTTACTTGGTCACTTGTGTGAAACTGTGTGAAGTTACTGCTCTGTGTTTTACATAGATAAAGGGAAGTTATAAATTAAATTTAGAGCCTGCAAATAAAAATGTGTACAAGTTTATTATTCTTTCAGCTAAAATTTGATTATTGACATTACTTGACTTGTATTTTTTTCAGAAATAATTACTGTATTTCTAGACTTGTCTTTTTGTGTCATCTACACTGTCAGCATGTGTTATGCAATTCTTAATGCAAGTCTTATATGGAGGAAGATTTAAGCCGGACTACATCATCGATCTCTTAATTGATATCCAAGATGTTTGGAACAACTTCCCTTCTGAGACCTTCCAAAATTTGCTCCTAGAAAAAAAAAATAATAATCAATGCTCTTTTGAAATAACTTATCACAATACTTATTTAATTTAAGTTTCTCATGTCTAGATCAGCATTGCATTAAACATTCATTAGAATTTTGCAAAACATCTTTCCTATACTGTAAATTATTTTTTACACCTGGGTACAACTTTTACACAGTGCTGTGTGTGTGTATGGATATATATATATATATAT